GAGATGGGGAGAGAGAGAGAGAGAGAGAAAGAGAGGGATGGGAGAGAAAGAGAGAGAGAGAGAATGAGAGAGAGAGAGAGAGAGAAAGAGTGGACACGATTAGACCCAACCAAAACATGAGAAAACAAAAAGAGAATTACTTGACACATTGGAAAGAATTAACAAAAAAACAGAGCAAACTAGAATGCTATTTGGCCCTAAACAGAGAGTACACAGTGGCAGAATACCTGACCACTGTGACTGACTCAAACTTAAGGAAAGCTTTGACTATGTACAGACTCAGTGAGAGAGAGAAATGGGGAGAGAGAGAGAGAGAATCAGAGAAAGAGAGAGATGGGGAGAGAGAGAGAGAGAGAGAGAGAGAGAGAGAGAGAGAGAGAGAGCTCTGTCTTCTGTGAGCATTGTGTAATTCATTCAAAGTATAACGTATCATTTAGCTAGTTAGTTAAAGTGCGCGTGTGGTCTGGCCAGGGATCGCAGAAGGATGTTCTATTCTATGTCTTGATTGAGATTCATTCATGAAACCAAGTGATAAAAATGTAATTTTATTAAGACAATGTGACATTTAAAAAAAAATACAACATTGACACATTCTGTTCAAGAGTTGTCCTATTATTAAACTTTGAACATATTGGTTTCACTATGCTGTTTGCACAATTCTATTGTCACATTAATTCATCCAATTATCAAACTAAAGAAGTACGCAGCTGCACGTATATGTGATTATTATTGAGCCTACATCTTGATTTATCGAGGACACCATCACTTTAGCTTTTCTGTCAGTAGATGCAGCGCATGGAATGGGGAGGGGCAGGGTGTCTAGATGGCCTACATGGCCCACAAATGCCAGCCATTGGTCAAATTCAAATTCAATGTCGTAGAATAGATCACATTTATATAATTTGGACGCCCAATGTTGTAATGAATGAACAATTATGCTATCAAACAATGATAAATCACTGGACAATCAGATGAAGCCATAATATGATGTTTATTGAATTCAAATAGGCCTAAACTGTAAGATACAGTGCCTTGCAAAAGTATTCAGCCCCCATTGGCGTTTGTCCCATTTTGTTGCATTACAACCTGTCATTTAAATTGATTTTTTTTTTAGGATTTCATGTAATGGACATACCCAAAATAGTCCAAATTGGTGAAGTGAAATGAAAAAAATTACTTGTTTCAAATAATTCTAAAAAATAAATAACGGAAAAGTGGTGCGTGCATATGTATTCACCCCCTTTGCTATGAAGCCCCTAAATATGATCTGGTGCAACCAATTACCTTCAGAAGTCACATAATTAGTTAAATAAAGTCCACCTGTGTGCAATCTAAGTGTGACATGATCTCAGTATATATACAACTGTTCTGAAAGACCCCAGAGTCTGCAACACCACTAAGCAAGGGGCACCACCAAGCAAGCGGCACCATGAAGACCAAGGAGCTCTCCAAACAGGTCAGGGACAAAGTTGTGGAGAAGTACAGATCAGGGTTGGGTTATAAAAAAATATCAGAAACTTTGAACATCCCACGGAGCACCATTAAATCCATTAATGTAGTGCCCTGTAGCTCAGTTGGTAGAGAATGGCGCTTGCAATGCCAGGGTTGTGGGTTCGTTTCCCACGGGGGGGCAGTATGAAAATGTATGCACTCACTAACTGTAAGTCGCTCTAGATAAGAGCGTCTGCTAAATGACTAAAATGTAAAATGTAAATTATTTTAAAAAATTGAAAGAACACTTGAGTGGTTTAAGGGGAAACATTTAAATGTATTGGAATGGCCTAGTCAAAGCCCAAACCTCAATCCAATTGAGAATCTGTGGTATGACTTAAAGATTGCTGTACACCAGTGGAACCCATCCAACTTGAAGGAGCTGGAGCAGTTTTGCCTTGAAGAATGGGCAAAAATCCCAGTGGCTAGATGTGCCAAGCTTATAGAGACATACCCCAAGACACTTGCAGCTGTAATTGCTGCAAAAGGTGACTTTGGGGGGGGGTGAATAGTTACGCACACTCAAGTTCGTTTTTTTTGTTGTCTTATTTCTTGTTTGTTTCACAATAAAACATATTTTGCATCTTCAAAGTGGTAGGCATGTTGTGTAAATCAAATGATACAACCCCCCCAAAAATCCATTTTAATTCCAGGTTGTAAGGCAACAAAATAGGCAAAATGCCAAGGGGGGTGAATACTTTTGCAAGCCACTGTATAGGCCCTTTTAGTGCATGAGGCTATCTGTACTTTCTGTTTGTTTGCTCTACTTAGAAAACAAAGGGTGTTTACCGTGAGAAATTGCTTGTGGCTTCCACACACAATGCGAGTTTTGTCATCTCTTCTGTAGGCTACATGATTCAGTTGTTCATTAGTCGTTCAGAAAATCCGGAAAACAGCACCACAAAGTGGGCACTGTCTTTGATATTAGATTGGTTTGGTCAACCTTTGAAAGCCAAAGTAATATGTTAGCGACCTCGTAAACAAATGCAGCGGCATTTTGGTGGACGTTGTGCTACCCTTGGCTGGAGATGGCATTTCCATTTTGGTGGAAGTTGTGCTTCCCTTGGCTGGAGATGGCATTTCCATTTTGATGGAAGTTGTGCTTCCCTTGGCTGGAGATGGCATTTCCATTTTGGTTGAAGTTGTGCTTCCCTTGGCTGGAGATGGCATTTCCATTTTGGTGGAAGTTGTGCTTCCCTTGGCTGGAGATGGCATTTCCATTTTGGTGGAAGTTGTGCTTCCCTTGGCTGGAGATGGCGTTTCCATTTTGGTGGAAGTTGTGCTTCCCTTGGCTGGAGATGGCGTTTCCATTTTGGTGGAAGTTGTGCTTCCCTTGGCTGGAGATGGCATTTCCATTTTGGTGGAAGTTGTGCTTCCCTTGGCTGGAGATGGCATTTCCATTTTGGTGGAAGATGTGCTTCCCTTGGCTGGAGATGGCATTTCCATTTTGGTGGAAGTTGTGCTTCCCTTGGCTGGAGATGGCATTTCCGGCGGCAAGAAAAAGGGCATAGGCCTACAGCTTGGGTCTTTTCTCATTTGGGAAAAAGTCTGTTCTCCGTGTTCTCTCCTCCGTGACCCGGAAACCGATAAGTGGTCATGGAGAGTGTCAATTCGTTAGTAGGCAAACAGAAGACGGTCCTCCCTCCTCGATAGCCTCCTTTTGGAGAGGAAGCACAAGTCTATCACTGAGTTCTTCATTTAAGAGATTTTAAATCTGCCACACACCCTTTGAATTAGCTGTTGTTTTCTCGAAGGAGAAAGCATGCAAACATTTAAAAACAATATGCTACTTATCCTTTTATCTGCTAAATGTCTTGCACAAATTGCTACATTTGTTTTGATCACTTTATCCATTTATTTTGGAAATCCACCCCTGTAAACGTCATTTGCCTGATGACGTGCGAGTCTCATTTCATACAACCGCATTTTCGTCCATGTTCCCTCTCTTTACCACCTCTCCTTGATTATCTTTGACCTTTTTCAAAAGGAGGCCAGAGAGTACGGAGGAGAGAGGACACAGGAGTTGAGCAAAACCAATTGAGAAAAGGCCTTGCAATATTGTGATATAGTGATATAGATGGGTTAGCTGACAACGTCATGAAAACGTTGTGTGCACTTCTATGGGGCAGAAGTCAGCGTGTTGTGACTCTGGATGGACAGATTGCTAGCAAGAATGACAAGAAACTGCCATGTGGGGAATCGTAAGTGGCTAATTTCATCTCGTTTTATATTTTTCTTTATACCATGTCTTGTTTTGAGGTGTTTTGACTGATTTAATTTCAATGCTAATATGACTAAAATTCGTTAGCAAGCTAACCAACAACTGTAACGATGTATTTGAGAGACAACAAGTGCTCATTGTGCAAATGTATTTATGTTTACAATAAACGTTGGAGACTAAATATAGCTTACATGTTGTCAACAATCTAAGCCAACCACGTATGTTTTGCCCATAGTTGCACGTCGGTTTTGTGGTTTATAGGCCTTTTCTCAATTGGATTTGCTCAACTCCTGCGTTTCAGTTAGTTGTGCAAGACGTTTTCTAGCTAAAACAATAAGTAGCATATTGTTTTAAAAACGTGTGCATGCTTTTCTCCTCAGACAAAACAACAGCTGATTCAAAGGGGGTGTGGCAGATTTCAAAACTCTTCTGAGAAGGATACACATGGCTATCCTCGATGAAAGGTGGCTATCGAAGAGGGAAGGACACTCTTCCGTTCGCTTACTAACGAATTGACATTTCCTTGACCACTCGACCACTTATCGGTTTCCGGGTCACAGGAGCAGAGTGGACAGAGGAGAGAGGATGGAGGACAGACTTTTTCTAAAATGAGAATTGGCCATATCCTAAGTTTTGAATATGTTTTGTAGATCTCTATGCACTCAGATCATTTCTCCAGCCTCCTTCTAAACAAACGGGAAAGAAAGGCACCATATAATTCCATATTTTTAGATGGTGCCTGTATACAGTCATTTACTTTCTTTGGAAAATAATATCTTCCAACAGGTGTGAGTGAACCAATGATGAAAGATTACAACAGAGAAACTTCTTCACCTGAAGAAACCATTATCTTCTTTAGAAAGATGGAGGCTTCAGCTAAGGGGAGGTGGACACCAGACAACGGCCCCTCTTCCCCATCATCTTCAGGGATGCAGAGGTCCAGTTGCTCCAGTCTGAAGGTACAGTACTTCTCAAATCACCTGATGGGAAAATAAAATCCTGTACTGATCTAGGATCAGGTCCCTGTTATACATATAAACATATTCATTAAGATCTAAAAGGCAGAACTGATCCTATATCAACTTGTGAATACAGGCCCTGGGTTCAAATATCATGCAAAAAAATCTCTCCTCTCAGTTGCGTACAGTTACTACTTCTAGTTTATAATGTCGTACTGTAAAACAAGGAAAAAATACATGTTTTAACTTGACAGCTTGTTCCCTGGCCCACTGCCTCCCTGCCCTCTGGTCCCCCTGGCTCCATGACTCCATGGCCCCCTTCCCCCCAGCTCCATGGCCCCCTACACTCTGGTCTCTACTGGCTTCCTGTCCTCTGGTCCCCGTGGCTCCATGGCCCCCTGCCCCCTGGCTCCATGGCCCCCTGCCCCCCTGCCCCATGGTCTCCCTGGCTCCATGGCCCCTTCTCCCCTGCCCCCTGGTTCCCCTGGCTCCACGGCCCCCTGCCCCCTGGCTCCATGGCACCCTGCCCCCTTGTCTCCCTGGCTCCATGGCACACTGTCCCTCTACCCCCTTGTCCCCCTGGCTCCATGGCACCCTGCCCCCTGGTCCCCCTGGCTCCATGGCACCCTGCCCCCTGGTCCCCCTGGCTCCATGGCCCCCTGCCCCCTTGTCCCCCTGGCTCCATGGCCCCTGGTCCCCCTAGTCTCCTGACCCCCAACCCTCTTCAAGACCTGGGCTTAACATCCCAGTTCAAGACATTGTCCCACTTTACCTTTCTTTCACCCCCATTAATATAGTGCGCTTGAATAACTTAATCCACCACATGGTATTAAGTAAATGATCCTCTCTAAGGGAAGATCATATTTTACTGTAGGATTCTTTGATGGGTCTTTGAGTTCGACTTAGATACAATGTAAAGGACACAGTTAGCCCTGGTCTACAGTGTGCCTGACTGTAGTAGTTGTCATGTGGCTGTATGGAGGGAACAGAGCTACAGCAGTTTTCTAGCCATTTGTCAAAGAAAGGACTACCTCAGTGTGCCTACTCCCCAGACCTCCCCAGACCTACGTGACAGGGTTGATGCAATGGGTTATCTTGAAGGGACCAATGAAGCGAGGACAGAACTTTTTGCAGGGGAGGCGGAGCTGGATGTTTCTGGTAGAGAGCCACACACACTGTCCGTGGTGAAAGAGTGGCGTAGGTCGGCGGCGTCTGTCGGCAAAGCGTTTCTGGGTATTAGAGACTTCCGTCTGCCCGTTGGTCTGGGGATGGTACCCGGAGGAGAGGCTGAGGGTGACCCCCAGTCGGTCACAGAAGGCTCGCCACACCCGGGAGACAAACTGGGGCCCGGAATCCCATACAGATAGAACACCTGCTGGAACATACACTCAGCCAATTCCATGGCGTTGCGTAAATGAGGAAGAGGAACCAGACAACACACTATGACAAGGATGGTGGTGTTAACAGAGGATTCAGGAAGGTCTGTGATGAAGTCAACAGTTGTGTGGGACCAGGGTCTGTGAGGGATTGGCAAAGGTGGAAGCTTACCGGAAGGGAGATGACGAGGGCTTTTGGTTTGGGCGCAGACTGGACAGGAGAGTACGTAATCCCTTACGTCAGATGCCATTGAGGACTACCAGAACTTACAGGCTAGAAGTTCGGTGGTTCCTGTAATGCCCGGATGTCCTGACCCCAAGGACGTGTGACACCATTGCATCAGTTGGGGTCTAACAACCGCTGGTACGTAACTCTTCCCAGCTGGTGTCTCAGGAGGAGCCGGGTCTGAGGTTAGGGCTTCTTGTATGGCAGAGTGAACCTCCCAATGTACCAGTCCCATAATGCAAGAGGAAGGAAGAATGGGTGTAGGGTCTGAGTTATTGGTCGGAAGGTCAAACTGGCGGGAGAGATCATCAGCTTTTATGTTTTTCTTTCCAGGGATGTAAGTAACATGAAAATGGAAGTGTGTGAAAAGAGCCCAGCGGGCTTGTCTGGAGTTTAACCTCTTGGCCCCTCTGATATATTCCAGATTACGATGATCTGTTAGGATGAGAAAGGGATGTTGTGCACCCTCCAACCAGTGGCGCCACTCCTCGAGGGCCAGCCTGATGGCAAGGAGTTCTGTTCCCCACATCGTAATTCCTCTCAGCGGAGGATAACTTCCTGGAGAAGAAGGCACAAGGATGTGATTTTGGAGGTGTTCCCACCCGTTGATAGAGTATGGCTCCTACTCCTACTTCGGAGGCATCCACCTCCAGGGTGAAAGGAAGGGTCGGATCAGGTTGGCAAAGAACAGGAGCTGAGGTGAAGAGGCGTTTCAATGTGTTGAAAGCATCAGGGCGGTATCAGTCCATTGAAGGGTCCGGGTATTTTGGCTGGTAAGGGCAGTGAGGGGAGCGGCAGTAGAACTGAAGTTCCAAATGAAACGGCGATAGTAGTTGGAGAACCCAATGAAACGTTAGAGTTCCTTAACGGTGGTGGGTTTGGGCCAGTTACTGACAGCCGTGACTTTGTTCTCATCCCATGCTGACCCCTCCAGGTGTCAGTACGAACCCGAGGAAGTTTACCGAGGTTACATGGAAGGTGCTCTTTTCAGTCTTCACATAAAGGTAATGGTCAAGGAGCCGTTGAAGAACCCTTTGTACATGATGTATGTGTTCCTTCAGGGAGTAGGAGTAAATCAGGATGTCATCAATGTAGACGATGAGAAAGCGTTTGATCATATCCTGGAAAACCTCGTTCATAAAGGATTGGAAGACGGCAGGGGGCGTTAGTAAGGCCGTAGGGCATGACCAGGTATTCGTAGTGGCCTCGTGCGGTGATAAAGGCAGTCTTCCATTCGACGCCTTTACGTATACGGACAAGGTTATAAGCACTTCGCAGGTCGAGTTTTGTATAGATGTTGGCGCGGCCCACTTGTTCAATGGTTGCTGGGATCAGAGGAAGAGGGAAACGGTTCTTGACCGTAACGTCATTCAGGGAACGGTAATCAATACATGGACGGAGACCACCATCCTTTTTTTCAACGAAGAAGAAGCTGGACGCAGCTGGGGAAGAAGAAGGACGAATGAAAACGTTTTTGAGTGTTTCATCAATGTAGTTCTCCATTGCCTCATTTTCCGGGATAGATAGGGGGTAAACACGGCCCTTCGGTGGGGACACTCCAGGGAGTAAGTCAATAGCACAGTCCCCTGGGCGATGTGGTGGCAGAGTGGAGGCCTTGATTTTGCTAAAGACATTGCTGTACTGGGCGTATTCAGATGGTATGGTGGGTGGCACTGCAGAGGCAGAGTCCTCAATGGTGGTGGCTCAGCAGGGTAGGCTGAGACAACTGGTGAAGCAGGTAGAAGTCCAGGACAGTAGTTCACCTAGTCGCCACCAGATGGCAGGGTCATGACGACAAAGCCAGGGGTGTCCGAGGATGAGTGGCTGTTTAGGGGATGAGAGTTCCATGAGTTGAATGGTTTTGGTGTGGAAAACTCCAATCTGGAGGGTAACGCTCTGTGTCAGGTGCGTAATGAAGCCCATGCCCAATGGCTGTTAGATCAATGTCAAGCTCTTGTACTAGCTGGTGATCGATAAAATTACCTGCTGCTCCCGAATCTATCAAGCCCTCTACGTACTTAGTAACCCCCTTCACGGTTATCAATACTGGGATGGAGAATTGCTTCTGTGAGCTATTTAGAAATAAGGACATGCCTACCTGCATGGCAGCGGAGGGACCCTTCTCATCTCTCCGTGGGGGGCGATCAGGGCAATGGCTGAGTAGATGATCTTTCCCGCCACAGTATAGGCAGAGCCCTTTTTGGATCCGCCTTTGACGTTTGATTTTATGATTATGTATGTCGTCATACACTTGTAGAATAACTGGAACTGGTGGGTAGTCACTCCTATCTGTGCAGTAATGGATATAAGGGAGAAGTATACTACCATGGGAGATTGGTGGGGTGTGTGTGTGTGTTTGTGTGTGTGTGTGTGTGTGTGTGTGTGTGTGTGTGTTTGTGTTTGTGTGTGGTGTTTGTGGTTTGTGTGTGTGTGTTTGGTGTGTGTGTGTGTGTGTGTGGTGGTGTGGTGTGTGTGTGTGTGTGTGTGTGGTGTGTGTGTGTGTGTGTGTGTGTGTGTGTGTGTGTGTGTGTGTGTGTGTGTGTGTTTGTGTGTGTGTGTGTGTGTGTGTGTGGTTGTGTGTGTGTGTTTGTGTGCCGGAGAGGGGGAATCATCTGACTGAAAGTCATCAGACTGGCCTAAAGGGAACAAACTAGAAGCATCTCTTAGAGGAATCTAGTGGCTCTGTAAGACAGAGGCTGCACCCCCCTATCCACGTCGACGGGACCGCAGTGGAAGAAGGTGGAAAGCTTCAAGTTCCTTGGCGGACACATCACTGACAAACTGAAATGGACCACCCACACAGACAGTGTGGTGAAGAAGGCGCAACAGAGCCTCTTTAACATCAGTGGTTGTCCCACTGGCTATCATAAGGTGAATGCACCAGTTTGTAAGTCGCTCTGGATAAGAGCGTCTGCTAAATGACATAAATGTAAATGTAAATGTAAAGAAATTTGTCTTGGCACTTAAAACCCTCACAAACTTTTACAGATGCACAATTGAGAGCATCCTGTCGGGCTGTATCACCACCTGGTACGGCAACTGCACCGCCCGCAACCGCAGGGCTCTCCAGAGGATGGTACAGTCTGCCGAACGCATTATCGGGGGCAAACTACCTGCCTTCCAAGACACATACAGCACCCTATGTCACAGGAAGGCCAAAAAGATCATCAAGGACATCAACCACCCGAGCCACTGCCTGTTCACCCCACTGTCATCCAGAAGGCGAGGTCAGTACAGGTGCATCAAAGCTGGGACCAAGAGAATGAAAAACAGCTTCTATCTCAAGGCCATCAGACTGTTAAATAGCCATCACTAGCACATTGGGCTCCCGAGTGGCGCAGCAGTCTAAGGCACTGCATCTCAGTGCTTGAGTCGTCACTACAGACCCCCTGGTTCGATTCCAGGCTGTATCACAACCGGCCGTGATTGGGAGTCCCATAGGGCAGCGCACAATTGGCCCAGCGTCGTCCGGGTTTGGCCGGTGTAGGCCGTCATTGTAAATAAGAATTTGTTGTTAACTGACTTGCCTGGAAAAATTAATAAAATAAACATTAGAGGCTGCTGCTTATTGAAATCACTGGCCACTTTAAGAAATTGAACATTAGTCACTTTAATTCTTTTTACAGTCACTTTAATAATTTTTACTTGCACTACTCATCTCATATGTACTGTACATACTGCATTATATTCTATAATATTCTACTGTATCTTAGTCCATACCGCTCTGTCATTGCTTGTCCATATATGTATATTTTCTTAAATTCCATTCCTTTCTTGTTTTGTGTGTATTGGGTATATGTTGTGATATTGTTAGATATTACTTGTTACATATTACGCACTGTCGGAGCTAGAAGCACAAGTATTTCGCTACACCCGCTATGACATCTGCTACACATGTGTATGTGACAAATAACATTTGATTTGATTTTAATAATGTTTACATATCTCACATTACTCATCTTTTATGTATACACTGTATTCTATACTATTCTACTGTATCTTAGTCCATGCCGCTCTGACATCGCTCGTCCATATATGTATATATTCTTAATTCATTCCTTAATTATATTTGTGTGTATTGGGTATATGTTGTGAAATTGTTAGATATTACTTGTTAGAAATTACTGCACTGTTGGAGCTAGAAGCACAAACATTTCCCTCCACCCGCAATAACATCTGCTAAACACGTGTATGTGACCAAGACAATTTGATTTGATTTGATATCATGTTGTAAGGCAGTGTGTGTATCATGTTGTAAGGCAGTGTGTATATCATGTTGTAAGGCAGTGTGTATATCATGTTGTAAGGCAGTGTGTGTATCATGTTGTAAGGCAGTGTGTGTATCATGCTGTCAGACAGTGTGTGTATCATGTTGTAAGGCAGCGTGTGTATCATGTTGTAAGGCAGTGTGTGTATCATGTTGTAAGGCAGTGTGTGTATCATGTTGTAAGGCAGTGTGTGTATCATGTTGTAAGGCAGTGTGTGTATCATGTTGTAAGGCAGTGTGTGTATCATGTTGTAAGGCAGTGTGTGTATCATGTTGTAAGGCAGTGTGTGTATACATGTTGTAAGGCAGTGTGTTGTCATGTTGTAAAACAGTGTGTGTGTCATGTTGTAAGGCAGTGTGTGTATCATGTTGTAAAACAGTGTGTGTGTCATGTTGTAAAACAGTGTGTGTATCATGTTGTAAGGCAGTGTGTGTATCATGTTGTAAGGCAGTGTGTGTATCATGTTGTAAGGAAGTGTGTGTATCATGTTGTAAGGAAGTGTGTGTATCATGTTGTAAGGCAGTGTGTGTAGATCATGTTGTAAGGCAGTGTGTGTATCATGTTGTAAGGCAGTGTGTGTATCATGTTGTAAGGCAGTGTGTGTATCATGTTGTAAGGCAGTGTGTGTATCATGTTGTAAGGCAGTGTGTGTATCATGTTGTAAGGCAGTGTGTGTATCATGCTGTCAGACAGTCTGTGTATCATGTTGTAAGGCAGCGTGTGTATCATGTTGTAAGGCAGTGTGTGTATCATGTTGTAAGGCAGTGTGTATATCATGTTGTAAGGCAGTGTGTGTATCATGTTGTAAGGCAGTGTGTGTATCATGTTGTAAGGCAGTGTGTGTATCATGTTGTAAGGCAGTGTGTGTATCATGTTGTAAGGCAGTGTGTGTATCATGTTGTAAGGTAGTGTGTATATCATGTTGTAAGGCAGTGTGTATATCATGTTGTAAGGCAGTGTGTATATCATGTTGTAAGGCAGTGTGTATATCATGTTGTAAGGCAGTGTGTATATCATGTTGTACAGGCTTTGGTTTCCCAAATTGATTATTTCAAAACAGAAACTTGTGTGAACTCGACTGCAGTGGAACGTAGCGAATATAACTAAGCCTAATAAGGATCATGCAAGGTGTTATACTGAACAAGAATATGAACACAACATACAACAATTTCAAAGATTTTACTGAATTACAGTTCATATAAGGAAATCGGTCAATTGAAATAAATGCATTAGGCCCTAATCTATGGATTTCACATGACTGGGAATACAGATATGTATCTGTTGGTCACAGATACCTTAAGAAAAAGGTAGGGGCGTGGATCAGAAAACCAGTCAGTATCTGTTGTGACCACTATTTGCCTCATGCAGCGCGACATATCTCTTTCGCATAGAGTTGATCAGGCTGTTTATTGTGGCCTGTGGAATGTTATCCCACTCCTCTTCAATGGCTGTGCGTAGTTGCAGGATATTGGCGGGAACTGGAACACGCTGTCGTACACATCGATCCAGAGCATCCCAAACATGCTCAATGGGTGACATGTCTGATGAGTATGCAGGCCATGGAAGAACTGGGACATATTCAGCTTCCAGGGATGGTGTACTGATCCTTGCAACACGGGGCCGTGCATTATCATGCTTAAAAAATAGGTGATGGCGGCGGATGAATGGCACGACAATGGTCCTCAGGTTGTCGTCACGGTATCTCTGTGCATTCAAATTGCCATCTATAAAATGCAATTCTGTTGTTTGTCCATAGCTTATGACTGCCCATACCATAACCCCACTGCCACAATGGGGCACTCTGTTCACAACATTGACATCAGCAAACCGCTTGCCCACACAACGCCATACACATGGTCTGCGGTTGTGAGGCCGGTTGGACGTTCTGCCAAATTCTATAAAACGACTTTGGAGGTGGCTTATGGGAGAGAAATGAACATTCAATTCTCTGGCAACAGCTCTGGTGGACATTACTGCAGTCAGCATGCCAATTGCACGCCCCCTCAAAACCTTATACATCTGTGGCATTGTGTTGGGTGACAAAACTGCACATTTTAGTGGCCTTTTATTGTCCCCAGCACAAGGTGAACCTGTGTAATGATCATGCTGTTTAATCAGCTTATTGATATGCCACACCTGTCAGGTGGATGGATTATCTTGGCAAAGGAGAAATGCTCACGAACAGGGATGTAAACAAATTTGTGCACAACATTTGAGAGAAATAAGCTTTTTGTGCATATGGAACATTTCTGGGATCTATTATTTCAGCTCATGAAACATGGGACCAACACTTTACATGTTGCATTGATATTTATGTTCAGTGTAACTTATTCCTAATTAGTGCCTTTTGGTCTGCACCCTCCATCCCTCACCCAGACCCTACAGGGTATTATAAAGGGCTAAAAGAAATGCCCTAACCCAGACCCAGGGCTGAATTAAAGCTGCATGTGTTGGACAATAATTAAAAAGCTGCTTAGAGAGAGAGAGAGAGAGAGAGAGAAGAGGAGAGAGAGAGGAGAGAGAGAGCAAGAGAGAGAGAGAGAGGAGAGAGCAGATAGAGAGAGAGATAGAGAGATAGAGGTAAGAGATAGCGAGACCTCGAGATTAGATATCGCTCATCGATAGGAGAGAGCTCGACTAGATATATCATCTGATCTCGTCTCCTCTCTCTCTCTATATGCTCCTCTCTCTCATCTATCTCTGTTCTCTATCATCGCTCTCTTCTCTCCCTCTCGCTCGTCTCCCTCGCTCGTCTCGCGCTCTCGCCGCTCGGCTCTTCTCCTACTCCCGCGTCTCGCTCGCGCGCCAGCTTGCGGCACTAAGCTACAGAAAGCTCGAGAGAGAGAGAGAGAGAGAGAGAGATTGTGTGGTGTGTGTGTGTCTGTTTGTCTGTCAGTCTGTGTGTCTGTCTGTCTGTGTACAGTGAAACAGCTTCTTGTTTGCCACTAGCCTGTGTACCGTGTGTGTACAGTAACTGTCTTTGTATTTGATTAGTGCAGCTAATGATGACTGTACTGTACATTAACTTTACACAAGCACTGTATCTGCAAATTGAAAGAGGTAGCCCTCAGCAGTAAGTGACTTGCTGTAATAGAGTTTAGGGCCTGTCTCTGTCCTGATCTGGGCTCAAACATGGGACCTTCTGCATAACAACCCTTCATGGTCCTGTGTGGCTCAGTTGGTAAGAGCCTGATGCTAGCAACACCAGGGTGGTGGGTTCGATGTTTGCTGTGACCACCCATATAAAAAATTTACACGCTCAGTTGTAAGTCGCTTAGGATAAAAGCTTCTGCTAAATGCATATGTTATGTTACACACAGTTGAAGTCGGAGGTTTACATACACTTAGGTTGTAGTCATTAAAACTTGTTTTTCAACCACTCCACATGTTTCTTGTTAACAAACTATAGTTTTGGCAAGTCGGTTAGGAGATCTACTTTGTGCATGACACAAGTAATCTTTCCAACAATTGTTTACAGACAGATTATTTCACTTATAATTCACTGTATCACAATTCCAGTGGCTCAGAAGTTTACATACACTAAGTTGACTGTGCCTTTCAACAGCTTGGGAAATTCCAGAAAATGATGTCATGGCTTTAGAAGCTTCTGATAGGCTAATTGACATAATTTGAGTCAATTGGAGATGTACCTGTGGATGTATTTCAAGGCCTACCTTCAAACTCAGTGCCTCTTTGCTTGACATCATGGGAAAATCAAAAGAAATCAGCCAAGACCTCAGAAAAAAATGTGTAGACCTCCACAAGTCTGGTTCATCCTTGGGAGCAATTTCCAAAACGCCTGAAGGTACCACGTTCATCTGTACAAACAATAGTACACAAGGCTAAACAGCATGGGACCACGCAGCCGTCATACCGCTCAGGAAGGAGACGCGTTCTGTCTCCTAGAGATTAATGTACTTTGGTGTGAAAAGTGCAAATCAATCCCAGAACAACAGCAAAGGATCTTGTGAAGATGCTGGAGGAAACAGGTACAAAAGTATCTATATCCACAGTAAAACGAGTCCTATATCGACATAACCTGAAAGGCCGCTAGGCAAGGAAGAAGCCACTGCTCCAAAACCGGCATTAAAAAGCCAGACTACTGTTTGCAACTGCACATGGGGATGAAGATCGTACTTTTTGGAGAAATGTCCTCTGGTCTGATGAAACAATAATAGGGCAGTTTGGCCATAATGACCATCGTTATGTTTGGAGGAAAAAGGGGGTAACTTGCAAGCCGAAGAACACCATCCCAACCGTGAAACATGGGGGTGGCAGCATCATGCTGTGGGGGTGCTTTGCTGCAGGAGGGACTGGTGCACTTCACAAAATAGATGGCATCATGAGGAAGGAAAATTATGTGGATATATTGAAGCAACATCTCAAGACATCAGTCAGGAAGTTAAAGCTTGGTCGCAAATGGGTCTTCCAAATGGACAATGACCCCAAGCATACTTCCAAAGTTGTGGCAAAATGGCTTAAGGACAACAAAGTCAAAGTATTGGAGTGGCCATCACAAAGCCCTGACCTCAATCCTATAGAAAATGTGTGGGCAGAACTGAAAAAGCATGTGGGAGCAAGGAGGCTTACAAACCTGACTCAGTTACACCAGCTCTGTCAGGAGGAATGGGCCAAAATTCACCCAACTTATTGTGGAAGGCTACCCGAAACGTTTGACCCAAGTTAATCAATTTAAAGGCAATGTTACCAAATACTAATTGACTGTATGTAAACTTCTAACCCACTGGGAATGTGTTGAAAGAAATAAAAGCTTAAATAAATCATTCTCTATTATTCTGACATTTCACATTCTTAAAATAAAGTGGTGATCCTAACTGACCTAAAACAGGGAATTTTTACTAGGATTAAATGTCAGGAATTGTGAAAAACTGAGTTTAAATGTATTTGGCAACTTCTGACTTCAACTATATGTCAAGCAGCACCGTCAATACCAGTGACCCAGAAAAAGCCCAGGCGTTTCTATGTCTTGGGCTACAATACTTCTAGGTCTATTACTGCACTGCACACGCAGCTAACTACTTACCAGTGCCACGTCAGCTGCAGGGTCATTCCATGAAATTAGTCTCTTTTGGGTATTGTGATAAAAAAACATTTTTATTTCACAGAATTTCTACATTCTTTCATGAAGAGCACATATTCAACTTAAAAAACAAACATGTTTTCCCATCTCAAGAGGTTAAATGACTTTAGTAAGAGCCTATTAAGTGCCAAATAAAGTAACAGGGTTGACCATAACAGGGTTGACTGTAACAGGGTTGATGATTTCTTCCTAAATCAGCCATAAATCCCCTCGTGACAAGGGGAATGGAAGCTTGTTGTGTGCAACAGGGAGGGGCAATTAAATGCAAGCTTCACCCCAAAAATTATATTGTAAAAAATATATATATATATATATCTATGTTTAACAGGGTTGACATGTTATGCTCGAACAGCTCAGCTTAGTTTTACCTTAAAATGAATCACTAATCACTTGAAATAAATAATAATCTTGAGAAATGACTTTGGCAAAGCAACAAAATAACTTTACAATGATGGTGAAAACTTGGAGAGATTTTGGTGCACAGATGGTGCACAGACCCACTGGACAAAAACTGGTTGAGTCAACGTTGTTACAACGTAATTTGTCAACGTGTATTGACGTGGAATCTGCGTGGAAAATACATTGGTTTAAAAAATTGTTTTGAGGGTAAAATTTCAACCACAGGATCATGTCATGATACACTGCTCAAAAAAATTAAGGGAACACTAAAAAAACACATCCTAGATCTGAATGAATGAAATAATCTTATTAAATACTTTTTTCTTTACATAGTTGAATGTGCTGACAACAAAATCACACAAAAATGATCAATGGAAATCAACCCATGGAGGTCTAGATTTGGAGTCACCCTCAAAATTAAAGTGGAAAACCACACTACAGGCTATCCAACTTTGATGTAATGTCCTTAAAACAAGTCAAAATTAGGCTCAGTAGTGTGTGTGGCCTCCACGTGCCTGTATGACCTCCCTACAACGCCTGGGCATGCTCCTGATGAGGTGGCGGATGGTCTCCTGAGGGATCTCCTCCCAGACCTGGACTAAAGCATCCGCCAACTCCTGGACAGTCTGTGGTGCAACGTGGCGTTGGTGGATGGAGCGAGACATGATTTCCCAGATGTGCTCAATTGGATTCAGGTCTGGGGAACGGGCGGGCCAGTCCATAGCATCAATGCCTTCCTCTTGCAGGAACTGCTGACACACTCCAGCCACATGAGGTCTAGCATTGTCTTGCATTAGGAGGAACCCAGGGCCAACCGCACCAGCATATGGTCTCACAAGGGGTCTGAGGATCTCATCTCGGTACCTAATTGCAGTCAGGCTACCTCTGGCGAGCACATGGAGGGCTGTGCGGCCCCCCAAAGAAATGCCACCCCACACCATGACTGACCCACCGCCAAACCGGTCATGCTGGAGGATGTTGCAGGCAGCAGAATGTTCTCCACGGCGTCTCCAGACTCTGTCACATCTGTCACGTGCTCAGTGTGAACCTGCTTTCATCTGTGAAGAGCACAGGGCACCAGTGGCGAATTTGCCAATCTTGGTGTTCTCTGGCAAATGCCAAACGTCCTGCACGGTGTTGGGCTGTAAGCACAACCCCCACCTGTGGACGTCGGGCCCTCATACCACCCTCATGGAGTCTGTTTCTGACCGTTTGAGCAGACACATGCACATTTGTGGCCTGCTGGAGGTCATTTTGCAGGGCTCTGGCAGTGCTCCTCCTGCTCCTCCTTGCACAAAGGCGGAGGTAGCGGTCCTGCTGCTGGGTTGTTGCCCTCCTACGGCCTCCTTCACGTCTCCTGATGTACTGGCCTGTCTCCTGGTAGCGCCTCCATGCTCTGGACACTACGCTGACAGACACAGCAAACCTTCTTGCCACAGCTCGCATTGATGTGCCATCCTGGATGAGCTGCACTACCTGAGCCACTTGTGTGGGTTGTAGACTCCATCTCATGCTACCACTAGAGTGAAAGCACCGCCAGCATTCAAAAGTGACCAAAACATCAGCCAGGAAGCATAGGAACTGAGAAGTGGTCTGTGGTCACCACCTGCAAAACCAGTCCTTTATTGGGGGTGTCTTGCTAATTGCCTATAATTTCCACCTGTTGTCTATTCCATTTGCACAACAGCATGTGAAATGTATTGTCAATCAGTGTTGCTTCCTAAGTGGACAGTTTGATTTCACAGAAGTGTGATTGACTTGGAGTTACATTGTGTTGTTTAAGCGTTCCTTTTATTTTTTTGAGCAGTGTATTAACAAAATCTGAACATAAACAAATCTTGTATAAGATATGATGAATTTGTACCTTAAAAACAATTATATCCACTATCCTCCTACTTGAGAATGTATCTATCTACAGCTATCCTTCGGTCTCCCAGCCAAGGTTTTAATCAAGTCCAGCCCTGCTTAGCTATGATATTTGTCACTGACTATAACCAATGCGCTATTGTGAGAATGCTTATTGAGAGATCTACACTTAAAATAGATTCACTGTTGCTATCAAAGTCATTCCAACGGGGTAGGTTTATTAACGGGGCAAATTAAATGTGACCATACAACAGCTATAGTTTCAATTCAACCCAGAATTCAACGAAACAAAAAATCAGACATTGTTTTTCCATTGGAATTTGGTTGTACTTTTAGATGTTTGAAAGCATAGTGATAACACATTAAAAAATTCAACTAACTTGTGGCTGTCTTTTTGAGTGGGTGATTATAGGTTGTAATCTCATTGATCAACATCTCAACCAAATAGATTGATTACCCAATTATCTACCTTGAAATGACGTAGTGTGCCCAGTGGGGAGGGACATGTTAAAAGCCTGAATTTTAGCACATTAGTAAGTCTTTATTCATATTAAAAATCAGATTTATTGAATTTTCCATGTGGTGTATATTAAACAGCACTTCATTTCATATAACATGCTTTTAAATTCAATATTGTTGGACAGTTTGTACTTAGAATATCAGAGGGCCGAAAAAGGGACTCATTTCGTGGAATGACCCTACAATAGACGTGGCAAAAATAAAAAAGCTGATTAGCAAGTTTGGTTTCTGTTTTTTTGACAGCTTTTCAAAACAGGCTTTATTTCGGATTTACTTTGATTAAGCATGTAGACTCATGGTCATGGTTTCTCTTCACGTCGCCAGCTGTTTGGACGCTAGCTTTTTCCCACAATGCAGTCTGTTGCTGTTGTTTCTAGATATTGCTTTACACAGACAGACTTAGGGAGTAAACACACGTTGTTTAAGGATTCAGTACATTACAGAACAGTATGTGATTTAAATGCAGATGCTGAGGAAACTTCTTCTGGAGGCCTCTAGCTTGATATCTTGACAAACAGTGTAATATTACTTGAGAAGTAAACAGAATTGGTGTTAAGTATGGCAAGATTTCATGGAGTAGAGAGGAGATTCAGCAACTCTTGGAGGACAGTGGAATTAAATAAAAAAGTATCTTTATTATTAAAAGTAGAAACAACACATTTCAAGATTTATGTAAGTGAACTGTTAATTTATGATGCTGAGGCCTGCTGTGTTCTGGAAGTTAAGTTCCTTGGGTTCCTGGGTTTATTACTTTGACCCCAGATCAAGGTAGGGTCAGGTGCAAGTATTCTAGCCAGTCACAGGGTCGCGACTCAGACATATAACATGAGCTAACTCACAGCTCCTAGGAATTCAGTTTGTGGGATTCAGGGAATCAAATTTTTATACTTGGTCAAATCTTTCTCAGGAAGTCTCCCCATGGCCTCTGTCACACCTGGGTTCAAATACTATTCGTAATCATTTCAAATACTCGATTGAGGCTTGATTGAGCTTGCCTGGTTCACTGGAATTAATAGAAAAGTTGTAAAAAGAGAAACTCCTGCCCATATGACACTACCAGGCAGGGTAAAGCAAACGTTCAAAAGTATTTAAAATATTTCAAATCATATTTGAATCCAGGTCTGGCCTATGTTTACACAGTCAGCCCAATTCTGATATGTTATTCACTAATTGGTCTTTGGACCAATCACATCAGATATTTTTCAGAGCTGATCTGATTAGTCAAAAGACCAATTAGTGAAAAAAAATATCAGAATTGGGCTTTCTGTGTAAACACAGCCTCAATTGAAAACAATGGGGCGAGGTGATGATGAGCTATCTAGTTGTTCTGAACTGTGACCCAGTTTGGTGCTGAAAGTTTTACAGAAACAAAGGGGCTATTATATTCTACTACAGCAACCTCCTGCCCAACCCACCCAGCATAATTACTCAGTGAGAATTGGCACAGATAATTGATTGTGTTTTTGGCAGGCAGGAACAGATGTAAGGCTGTATTCCAAAATCCACCTGCATCATTATAATTTGCAAATAGGCTATGTCTGAGCTGGATTAGCTTGAGGAAAATGGAAAATGATAGGTTGTAGGTGTTACATTTTAAATTAATACATTAATTCAATCAATTTAGACCCATCAGACTTTTTGGTGACTGTTGAGGTATTGTTGGATCTGTAAGCAGCTTCTCCATTATCTATGTGAATGATTAAATGTTTGATTGAATAAATTAATGAAAGAATGAATGAATGAACTGGCCTCGCTCCCAGGAAGACTGTTGCTGAAATGTAGTTTGTCGTAGGCAAAAATTGGAAAGGTCATATTGAAAAAGGCTAAGGAATCAACATAAGTTGATGACAACATACTGTATGTTAATGACGTTGATGAAAACATAAGTTAATGACATGAACATCATTTGAAGTGATGTCTCAGTTACGACTTTGCAGGAAACATTTCTCCAGAAGCAGAATCTCCGCACCGTGATGCAACTATCAGTCATATTTTCAGCATTAAGAAGCACAGGACATCTGAGGTGAAGTTGCTGCTGTTGAAAATATTTGAATAGAAATGTGAATGACGTATGCCAATGCTGAACCACTGATACCTCAGATCAGTGTCTTTGTGCTTCCTCTCTGATGGACAGAACTAGAGATGTTATGCCCTGGTCTACCTGAAGCGACGTCTTTGTGTTCAACTCTGATGGACAGAAATAGAGATGTTATGCCCTGGACTATCTGAAGTGACGTCTTTGTGTTCAACTCTGATGGACAGAAATAGAGATGTTATGCCCTGGACTATCTGAAGTGACGTCTTTGTGTTCAACTCTGATGGACAGAAATAGAGATGTTATGCCCTGGTCTACCTGAAGCGACGTCTTTGTGTTCAACTCTGATGGACAGAAATAGAGATGCTATGCCCTGGTCTACCTGAAGCGACGTCTTTGTGTTCAACTCAGCCTGTTGAAGAAAGGATAGTACCGATCTCACTGATGACAACCGCCATCACTGCAGGGCTATTTTCATCCCTAACAATGTAGTCCGGAGACTGATGCTGATGCTCACCTGTTTCCCATTAATTGTCCTGAGTTTTTGCCATGAGGCTGAATATGTCATAGTCATGAGATTATGACTCATGAGATTGAAGACCTCTTTTAATCATGGTTTTGTGAAGACTGCCAACGGAGAGCAACAACGAGCGAGGACTCGGTGCTCAGCATTCTTAGACCAGGCACTTGTTAGTCCGATTTTCTTTTGATATTTTTCTTTTCTTGACCTCTTTCCTACCTCTTTTTTTCTCTCTCTCTCTCTTCTTTTCTCCCTCTCTTTAGATGTTCCTGGCGGCCCTGTCCTTTGCCTACTTCTCTAAGGCCTTGTCTGGGAGTTACATGAAAAGCACGATAACCCAGCTGGAGAGGAGATTTGATATCCCAAGTTATTTGATAGGTGTTATCGACGGGAGCTTTGAAATAGGTAAGTACTGTACCTGCCACCTACATGTTTTGTTTGCTTCTCTACCTAGCTATACGTTCTTCTTCTTCTTCTTCTTCTTCTTCTTCTTCTTCTTCTTCTTCTTCTTCTTCTTCTTCTTCTTCTTCTTCTTCTTCTTCTTCTTCTTCTTCTTCTACCTACTTAGCTATTCATACTGTATGTTTCACGAAATGTTAGGGTGCATCAGGTGGATGAGTGGGCCAAGATTTACGTCTTCCGGAGCGTCATCGTAGGGTCAACACTCTATATGCCAATTCATGAGCTTCTCTTTGAACGAACGTGGCGTTTGTTATGGTGGGTTGTGTAATACAACCTCAAAGAAAATCCAGTTCCATGGATCAGTTCTGCACATGACCCTGGTCTGTAGCACCAGTCACTGGGGTTTCAATGGTGATGTACGTTTCCATAGGCAATTGCATCAAAAGCAGGGCTTCTTGTTGAAATGGAGAACATAATATTATGTCCGCATGCTGGATCCTATGGCTCAGTGTGTTAGAGTATGGTGATTGAGCAACATCAGGGTTGTAGGTTGGTATACTATATTATACCCTGATGAATACAGCTTGTCTGTCCAAACGTTGGTTATTAAATGATTTCATTTGAGCTCCTAGAGTGTGAGGCTCTCCTTTTCTTTATCAAGTGTTCTACTCCGCTTGCCAGCACCTCTCCTAAACAGGTGTTCTACTCCGCTAAGCAGCACCTCTCCTAAACAGGTGTTCTACTGTCACACCCTGGCTCTGGGACTCATTATGTTGAGCCAGGGTGTGTTCATTCTATGTTTTCTGTTTCTATGTTGGGTGTTCTAGGTTGTTTATTTCTAGGTTTGACTGAGTGACTCCCAATCAGAGGCAACGAGTGTCAGCTGTGTGCTGGTTGTCTCTGATTGGGAGCCATATTTAACTGTCTGTGTTTCACTTTGTGTTTGTGGGTTTTTGTTCCGTGTTCGGTCATTGTCACTGAGGACTTCACGAGTCGTTTATTGTTTTGTTATTTTGTGTGTATGCTTTAATTTAATAAAGTAAGTATGTTCGCTACTAACGCTGCGCTTTGGTCCACTCCTTCATACGACGTTCGTGACAGAAAAACCCCACCATAAAAGGACCAAGCAGCGTGTCCAGGAGCAGGCAGACTGGACATGGGAGGAAGCGCCAGGAAAGGAGATGGAGAGGCTGGCGATGGCCCGGGTGGGCAAATCGTGGTCCTGGGAGGACATGCTCGGGGGCAAGGGACCTTGGGGTAGGATTAAGGCCCTGGCGAGAGAGGAGCAGCGGCGTCAGCAGTGCCATCGTCGGACGGACGAGAGGCACCCCCAATAATTTTTTAGGGGGGGGGCACACGGCATGGGCGACTGGGCAGCAGGAGGCTGCCACAGGGCGAAATGGGAGACGAGGAGAGAAGGCCACCGGGTTACGGGAGCCATTGGCGAGAGGAGGGAAGGAAGTTGTAGAGGCACGGCGAGAGGTACTGAGGTGTATTGCCAGTCCGGTCCGGCCCGTTCCTGATCCCCGTTTAAGGCCAGTGGTGTGTGTTCGCAATACGGTCCGGCCTGTTCCTGCTCCACGCACCAAGCCTACGGTGTGCGTCGCCAGCCCAGTCCGGCCTGTCCCTGCTCCACGCACCAAGCCTACGGTGTGCGTCGACAGCCCAGCCCGGCCTGTCCCTGCTCCACGCACCAAACCTACGGTGTGCGTCGCCAGCCCAGCCCGGCCTGTTCCTGCTCCACGCACCAAGCCTACGGGGTGCGTCGCCAGCCCTGCCCGGCCTGTTCCTGCTCCACGCACCAAGCCTACGGTGTGCGTCGCCAGCCCTGCCCGGCCTGTTCCTGCTCCACGCACCAAGCCTACGGTGTGCGTCGCCAGCCCAGTCCGGCCTGTCCCTGCTCCACGCACCAAGCCTACGGTGTGCGTCGACAGCCCAGCCCGGCCTGTCCCTGCTCCACGCACCAAACCTACGGTGTGCGTCGCCAGCCCAGCCCGGCCCGTTCCTGCTCCACGCACCAAGCCTACGGTGTGCGTCGCCAGCCCTGCCCGGCCTGTTCCTGCTCCACGCACCAAGCCTACGGTGTGCGTCGCCAGCCCTGTCCGGCCTGTCCCTGCTCCACGCACCAAGCCTACGGTGTGCGTCGTCAGCCCAGCCCGGCCTGTCCCTGCTCCACGCACCAAGCCTACGGGGTGCGTCGCCAGCCCTGTCCGGCCTGTCCCTGCTCCACGCACCAAGCCTACGGTGTGCGTCGTCAGCCCAGCCCGGCCTGTCCCTGCTCCACGCACCAAGCCTACGGGGTGCGTCGCCAGCCCGGCCCGGCCTGTCCCTGCTCCACGCACCAAGTCTACGGTGCGCGTCGCCAGCCCGGCCCGGCCCGTTCCTGCCACTCGCACCAAGCCAGGGGTGCGAGTCGTCAGTCCGGCACAACCCGTGCCTGGGTCATCGGTGCCAATTCAGGTACCGCTCTACTGCTCCACTAAGGAGCTGAAGCCTACCGCTCCTGCTACGTCCAGTCCAGCTCCAGCCAGCGGGACCGGACCAGGGGCGCTATGGGGGGTTTGTTGGAGGGTGGTGGGCAAGCCCGGAGCCGGAGCCGCCGCCGAGGAGGAATGCCCACCCAGCCCTCCCCTGTTTTGCTCGTATTTAGGCGCGGTCGCAGTCCGCGCCTTTAGGGGGGGGTAACTGTCACACCCTGGCTCTGGGACTCATTTGTTGAGCCAGGGTGTGTTCATTCTATGTTTTCTGTTTCTATGTTGGGTGTTCTAGGTTGTTTATTTCTAGGTTTGACTGAGTGACTCCCAATCAGAGGCAACGAGTGTCAGCTGTGTGCTGGTTGTCTCTGATTGGGAGCCATATTTAACTGTCTGTGTTTCACTTTGTGTTTGTGGGTTTTTGTTCCGTGTTCGGTCATTGTCACTGAGGACTTCACGAGTCGTTTATTGTTTTGTTATTTCGTGTGTATGCTTTAATTTAATAAAGCAAGTATGTTCGCTACTAACGCTGCGCTTTGGTCCACTCCTTCATACGACGTTCGTGACATCTACTCTGCCAGCCAGCACCTCTCCTAAACAGGTGTTCTACTCTGCTTCCCAGCACCTCTCCTAAACAGGTGTTCTACTCTGCCAGCCAGCACCTCTCCTAAACAGGTGTTCTACTCTGCCAGCCCGCACCCTTCCTAAACAGGTGTTCTACTCTGCCAGCCAGCACCTCTCCTAAACAGGTGTTCTACTCCGCTAGCCAGCACCTCCCCTAAACAGGTGTTTACTCTGCTAGCCAGCCACCTCTCCTAAACAGGTGTTCTACTCCGCTAACCAGCACCTCTCCTAAACATGTGTTCTACTCTGTCAGCCAGCACCTCCCCTAAACAGGTGTTCTACTCTGCCAGCCAGCACCTCTTCTAAACAGGTGTTCTACTCTGCCAGCCAGCACCTCCCCTAAACAGGTGTTCTACTCTGTCAGCCAGCACCTCCCCTAAACAGGTGTTCCACTCTGCCAGCCAGCACCTCCCCTAAACAGGTGTTCTACTCTGCCAGCCAGCACCTCCCCTAAACAGGTGTTCTACTCTGCCAGCCAGCACCTCCCCTAAACAGGTGTTCTACTCTGCCAGCCAGCACCTCCCCTAAACAGGTGTTCTACTCCGCTAACCAGCACCTCCCCTAAACAGGTGTTCTACTCCGCTAGCCAGCACCTCCCCTAAACAGGTGTTCTACTCCGCTAACCAGCACCTCCCCTAAACAGGTGTTCTACTCCGCTAGCCAGCACCTCCCCTAAACGGGTGTTCTACTCTGCTAGCCAGCACCTCTCCTAAACAGGTGTTCTACTCTGCTAGCCAGCACCTCTCCTAAACAGGTGTTCTACTCCGCTAGCCAGCACCTCTCCTAAACAGGTGTTCTACTCCGCTAACCAGCACCTCCCCTAAACAGGTGTTCTACTCCGCTAGCCAGCACCTCCCCTAAACAGATGTTTTACTCCGCTAACCAGCACCTCCCCTAAACAGGTGTTCTACTCCGCTAGCCAGCACCTCTCCTAAACAGGTGTTCTACTCCGCTAGCCAGCACCTCTCCTAAACAGGTGTTCTACTCTGCTAGCCAGCACCTCTCCTAAACAGGTGTTCTACTCCGCTAGCCAGCACCTCTCCTAAACAGGTGTTCTACTCTGCCAGCCAGCACCTCTCCTAAATAGGTATTCTACTCTGCTTCCCAGCACCTCTCCTAAACAGGTGTTCTACTCCGCTAGCCAGCACCTCTCCTAAACAGGTGTTCTACTCTGCCAGCCAGCACCTCCCCTAAACAGGTGTTCTACTCTGCCAGCCAGCACCTCCCCTAAACAGGTGTTCTACTCTGCCAGCCAGCACCTCTCCTAAACAGGTGTTCTACTCTGCTTCCCAGCACCTCTCCTAAACAGGTGTTCTACTCCGCTAACCAGCACCTCTCCTAAACAGGTGTTCTACTCTGCCAGTCAGCACCTCTTCTAAACAGGTGTTCTATTCTGCCAGCCAGCACCTCCCCTAAACAGGTGTTCTACTCTGCCAGCCAGCACCTCCCCTAAACAGGTGTTCTACTCCGCTAGCCAGCACCTCTCCTAAACAGTTGTTCTACTCTGCCAGCCAGCACCTCTCCTAAACAGGTGTTCTACTCCGCTAACCAGCACCTCTCCTAAACAGGTGTTCTACTCTGCCAGCCAGCACCTCTTCTAAACAGGTGTTCTATTCTGCCAGCCAGCACCTCCCCTAAACAGGTGTTCTACTCTGCCAGTCAGCACCTCCCCTAAACAGGTGTTCTACTCTGCCAGCCAGCACATCCCCTAAACAGGTGTTCTACTCTGCCAGCCAGCACCTCTCCTAAACAGGTGTTCTACTCTGCCAGCCAGCACCTCTTCTAAACAGGTGTTCTACTCTGCCAGCCAGCACCTCCCCTAAACAGGTGTTCTACTCTTCCAGCCAGCACCTCCCCTAAACAGGTGTTCTACTCTGCCAGCCAGCACCTCCCCTAAACAGGTGTTCTACTCTGCCAGCCAGCACCTCCCTTAAACAGGTGTTCTACTCTGCCAGCCAGCACCTCTCCTAAACAGGTGTGCGTTTCTTTTGGCTTTTGGTACACTATATGTGCCATTGTCAATGTTGACAGTTCTGTAAGCACTTTGGATAAAAGTGTCTGCTAAATTACCATAATGAAATCATATCAAAATAACATCCTGGCGCTCTACGTTTTTTTCTGGTATAAAAACAGAATCACATCTGTGGTTCAGATGTAAACGTCTCCTGACCAATAGTGTTGTTGTTCTGAAAATGTGACCCCTGTAACTGTCAAATGTGCCCAACCATGTCTCCTCCCCCTCATCCCTGTATTGTAGGTAACCTGTTGGTGATAGCCTTTGTGAGTTATTTTGGTGCCAAGCTTCACCGACCCAAGATCATAGCGATCGGATGTGTCCTGATGTCGTTTGGGACGTTCCTCATCGCCATGCCTCATTTTATTTTAGGACGGTAAGTAAGAGGAGTACACAACTTGTTGTCAGAACATGATCATGTGTTGACCTCCCTGTGTTTGTAGGTGGAAGAGGGCTCACATTGAGTTATGTTTTTACAGTGAGATAGTAGTTTGATCTAAGGTTTGGCTACATGTTGCATGTAGATACTTAAAGATCTATTGTCACTGACAAAGTAGAATTATGTGGTTTAGATAACAAATCATGGGTATTGCATGGCCAACATACTGCTTTCCTTTTTATTAATTGTATTACTTTTTTAAAAATCTTATCTTATTTATATTATTTTATTTGCTGTGAATTACATGTACAGTATATCTAATGACACCTGATCAATGATTTATCCTTCCCCTTGCTTAACAGTCACATTGGTATTTTTTACACAGCTATAAGTTCCAATCGTCAATTAGAGCATCCATGAATTCAACTACTAACTTCAGTCCATGTCCGGCAAGCTCAACTGAGTCCACACAGGCAGGTGACAGGGCCTCTATACTGCCGTCTGTAGGTAAGACATAGTAACTCAACCATATACACAGACATCCAGTCCAAATTCAATCCCTACCCCCCTCGCCTTGACCCTAACTCTTCAATGTTTGTAGATCTGTAAGATGGAAGCGATATAGTGGGAGCTCCAACACTACACTGCTTCTACCTACTCAGACCCTTCATATTTTCTAACATTGAAGGGTTAGGGCCAACGGGTGGGGTAAGGAGGGAATTGGGACCGGCACTTGTTCATCCATTGTATCATCAAATTCTACTATTATATTGTGGGAGCTAATGCTGTATTTAAGCATGTTTTTTTTCTTTTTTTCTAAATGACAGGCTGTGAGCAAGAGTCCAGTGTGTCTATGTGGATCTATGTATTCCTGGGTAATGTGTTAAGGGGGATAGGAGAGACTCCTGTACAGCCGCTGGGAATCTCCTATATAGACGACTATGCCAGGTCCGAGAATGCAGCCCTTTACATTGGTAAGGTTACATGTTTGTTTTTTCTGTCTCACAAAAATTCATTATAACTTTTAGAATAATTGTTTAAAGTAGGATAGGTCATCTGTCATGTAGCTAAATAAAGTTCCTGTCTTTTCTATGTTTGAATGTTTCAGGCTGTGTCCAGACCATATCAATCATAGGTCCTGTCTTTGGCTACTTACTAGGATCCTTGTGTGCCAAGATATACGTTGACATAGGATACGTGGACATGGGTGAGTCGAGTTTGGGAAACCCTGGGTTGTTCTCAATTCACTTACTGATTTAACTGAATCCTAAATGGCTTTGAGCCCAACCCTGTTGGTTATTTGACCCTACTACATCTGTCCTTCTTCTCCAGAGACTATCACCATCACCCCAGGCGATGCCCGCTGGGTCGGGGCGTGGTGGCTGGGGTACCTCATAGCCGGGGCCATCACCCTCATGTCTGCCGTACCCTTCTGGTTCCTGCCCAAGTCACTGCCCATGCCTGTGGATAAGCACGATGCCAACTGCACCCCAGAACAGACCCGGTTCATCAAGGACTCTCCCTCAGCCATGGAACATAAGTTTAGACCAGAGGAACCGGCCAACTTCCATCAAATGGCTAAAGGTACCTTAATATATCCTGGTCTGGCCTTGCTTTGAGAAGACCCATAACAACATACAGTACAGGCCTAATGATCAGATGAGTGTGTACTTCAGGCAGGGCAAAATTAGGCTGGGGGTACAGTAACCTATTGGAGTGGACCATATCAACTGCAATCAATTTTTTTTTTTTAAAGGGTTCTGAAAGGGTTCTTTGGCTGAAGAGAACCCACTTAAGAACAATTTTATGTTATCTACCTGGAACCCAAAAGGTTCTCCTATGGGGACATCTGAAGAACCCTAGGTTCTAGATAAAATGTTTGTTTCTCAGAGTGTACTTCAGAGGGCTCAGAGAGTACACTATGAACTATCTGAGCCCTCTGAAGTAGTGTATATGGTTGTCTCCAATAGCGTTATTCATTCTCTTTTGATCTGTATGTCAATGCAGTTTTATATGGATGTGAATAGTAAGACATGAAAACGTACAGAAACGAGTAACAATAATGGTTTTTGTTGTATTTTCACAGAATTTGTTCCAACATTGAAGAGCCTACTGGGAAGTCCAGTGTATATAATCTACCTGTGCGTGACCATTATTCAATTCAACTCTCTCATCGGCATGGTAACCTACAAGCCCAAATACATTGAGCAACATTACGGACAGTCAGCATCAAAAGCAAACTTCCTAATGGGTGAGTGCTTCATTATTTTATGATCATGTGTTTAATGTGTCTTAAAATCATACGTACATAATCAAAAATAACATTATAATATTGTGTAATGTTGTAACAAAAAAAATATTTTCAGTGAGCTGATTTTGTCTGGAGTGTTTCATGTTCTGTCTTTTACCCATTTTATTTATGTTACATTTCCATGGCAGTATGGTTCTTTCATACAAGAAAAGCTGACTGCCCCTCCAAAGATAGCTCTGACTTCACTGCAATTAAACACTGACATAATGAGATGGACACTGACTTCACTGCAATTAAACACTGACATAATGAGATGGACACTGACTTCACTGCAATTAAACACTGACATGATGAGACGGACTAGATAAAAGCGACATTGACATGAAATGAATAGATAAGAACATTGAATAATGACATTAATACATAGCCAGTCTTGATATAAAATTATATTAAAGTTAAATTATATTTAAAGTGCTGTTGATGACCACATAATAATATGCTTTTATTCTGTACTCAATTAGAGAAGAGTGGTTTAGTAGAGGAGAGGAGGTTGGGGGCTCAGCCAGAAATACATTCAGCATTCCCCCTGTCCTTTCAGGCATCAAAAGACAGTTTCATCTCTCATGACCACTTCACATGAAATATGGATGAATGACTTTGATATGAATGCGGCTATTCCTTCCTTTGATCTCTTCTGGGAAGAAGGATTGTGCAAGATACAGTTGCATCTCTGCCTCCCTGTAAAAAACCCAGTGAGGTGATTCCCCATGCAGTTCCCTTCCCCTCTTTAAGATCCCGGGCCCTTCCTCAATTCGTCTTTCCGTGATTCATCGCCTCCTGTCTCCTCGAACCCCCTTCTCATCTCTATTGGAGGAGAAGATCCTTATGAGGATGAGGCGATGAGACAAAGATGATAATTGGGAAAGATCCCTTTTGTCTTGTGATGTCTGTATTGTACGTGCCTGGCTACCCAGACTCGTTGCTCCTGCCAAATGCTACGCCACGCCCACGGACGATAGTTTCTTCTTTGCAATGAGTCTGGATCTGAGTACCTCGCCGACCCTTCACCGAATGCCAACACGTTTGGGGCCGTCTGATCGGTCCTGAAACCGATGGGTTGGGCCAGAGCCAGAACACGTGTGGGCAAAGCGGCCGGTTTGAAAATTCGTTATTGGCTTTGATACTCTGATTGGTTAGAGATTATCCTATCGATTATTCATTTGTTTTGTACAACACCCCTCCTTTTCATTTTCCTGTGATATCATCTTGTTTTGACATTTTTAATTTATTTTTATTTTTTAATTTTTTTATTTATTTAACCTTTATTTAACCAGGTAAGCCAGTTGAGAACAAGTTCTCATTTACAACTGCGACATGGCCAACACAGAGTTACTTATGGTTACATAAGGGGTAAACAAAACATAAAGTCAAAAATACAACAGAAAATATATATACAGTGTGTGCGAATGTAGTAAGTTATGGAGGTAAGGCAATAAATAGGCCATAGTGCAAAATAGTTACAATTTCGTATTAACACTGGAATGATAGATATGCAAAAGATGATGTGCAAATAGAGACACTGGGGTGCAAAATTAGCAAAATAAATAACAATATGGGGATGAGGTAGTTGGGTGGGCTAATTTCAAAATGGCTGTGTACAGGTGCAGTGATCGGTAACCTGCTCTGACAATTGACGCTTAAAGTTAGTGAGTGAGATAAGAGTCTCCAGCTTCAGAGATTTTTGCAGTTCGTTCCAGTCAATGGCAGCAGAGAACTGGAAGGAATGGCGGCCAAAGGAGGTGTTGGCTTTGGGGATGACCAGTGAGATATACCTGCTGGAGCGCAGACTACGGGTGGGTGTTGCTATGGTGACCAGTGAGCTAAGATAAGATGGGGAATTGCCTAGCAGTGATTTATAGATGACCTGGAGCCAGTGGGTTTGGCAACGAATATGTAGTGAGAGCCAGCCAACAAGAGCGTACAGGTCACAATGGTGGGTAGTATATGGGGCTTTGGTGACAAAACGGATGGTACTGTGATAGACTACATCCAATTTGCTGAGTAGAGTGTTGGAGGCTATTTTGTAAATGACATCGCCGAAGTCAAGGATCGGTAGGATAGTCAGTTTTACGAGGGCATGTTTGGCAGCATGAGGGAAGGAGGCTTTGTTGCGAAATAGGAAGCCGATTCTAGATCTAACTTTTGATTGGAGATGCTTAATGTGAGTCTGGAAGGAGAGTTTACAGTCTAACCAGACACCTAGGTATTTGTAGTTGTCCACATACTGTAGGTCAGACCCACCGAGAGTAGTGATTCTAGTCGGGTGGGCGGGTGCAAGCAGCATTCGGTTGAAGAGCATGCATTTAGTTTTACTAGTGTTTAAGAGCAGTTGGAGGCTACGGAAGGAGTGTTGTATGGCGTTGAAGCTCGTTTGGAGGTTTGTTAACACAGTGTCCAATGAAGGGCCAGATGTATACAAAATGGTGTCGTCCGCATAGAGGTGGATCCGAGCGTCACCAGTAGCAAGAGCGACATCATTGATATACACAGAGAATAGTCGGCCCGAGATTGAACCCTGTGGCACCCCCATAGAGACGGCCAGAGGTCCAGACAACAGGCCCTCCGATTTGACACATTGAACTCTATCTGAGAAGTAGTTGGTGAACGAGGCGAGGCAGTCATTAGAGAAACCAAGGCTATTTAGTCTGCTGATAAGAATACAGGGTCGAAAGCCTTGGCCAGGTTGATGAAGATGGCTGCGCAGTACTGTCTTTTATGGATCGCGGTTATAATATCGTTTAGGACCTTGAGCGTGGCTGAGGTGCACCCATGACCAGCTCGGAAACCGGATTGCATAGCAGAGAAGGTACGGTGGGATTCGAAATGGTCGGTGATCTGTTTGTTAACTTGGCTTTCAAATACTTTTGAAAGGCAGGGCAGGATGGATATAGGTCTGTAACAGTTTGGATCTAGAGTGTCACCCCCTTTGAAGAGGGGGATGACCGCGGCAGCTTTCCAATCTCTGGGGATCTCAGACGTTACAAAAGAGAGGTTGAACACGCTTGTAATAGGGGTTGCGACAATTTCGGCGGCTAACTTTAGAAAGAAAGGGTCCAGATTGTCTAGCCCAGCTGATTTCTAGGGGTCCAGATTTTTCAGCTCTTTCAGAACATCAGCTGTCTGAATTCGTGTGAAGGAGAAGCGGGGGGGGGGGGGGGGGGGGGGGCATGGGCAAGTTGCAGCGGAGGGTGCAGAGCTGGTGGCCGGGGTAGTGGTAGCCAGGTGGAAAGCATGGCCAGCCGTAGCAAAATGCTTGTTGAAATTCTCGATTAATGTAGATTTATCGGTGGTGACAGTGTTTCCTAGCCTCAGTGTAGTGGGCAGTTGGGAGGAGGTGCTCTTATTCTCCATGGACTTTACAGTGTCCCAAAACTTTTTGGTGTTAGTGCTACAGGATGCAAATTTCTGTTTGAAAAAGCTAGCCTTTGCTTTCCTTAGTGATTGTGTATATTGGTTCCTGACTTCCCTAAAAAGTTGCATATAGCGGGGGCTGTTCGATGCTAATGCAGTACACCACTGGATGTTTTTGTGCTGGTCAAGGGCAGTCAAGTCTGAGGAGAACCAGGGGCTATATCAGTTCTTAGTTCTGCATTTTTTGAATAGGGCATGCTTATTTAAGATTGAGAGGAAAGCACTTTTAAAGAACAACCAGGCATCCACTACGGACGGAATGAGGTCATTATCCATCCAGGATACCCGGGCCAGGTAAATTGGAAAGGCCTGCTTGCTAAAGTGTTTTAGGGAGCATTTGACAGTGATGAGGGGTGGTCGTTTGACGGCGGACCCATGCAAATAAGGCAGTGATCGCTGAGATCCTGGTTGAAGACAGCGGAGGTGTATTTAGAGGGTACATTTGTCAGGATGATATTTCCATTTCAGTCATTTAGCAGACGCTCTTATCCAGAGCGACTTACAGTTAGTGAGTGCATACATTATTAAAATTTTCATACTGGCCCCCTGTGGGAATCGAACCCATAACCCTGGCGTTGCAAACACCATGCTCTACCAACTGAGCTACATCCCTGCCGGCCATTCCCCTCCCCTACCCTGGGCCAATTGTGCACCGCCCCATGGGTCTCCCGGTCACGGCCAGCTACGACAGAGCCTGGATTTGAACCAGGATCTCTAGTGGCACAGCTAGGACTACGATGCAGTGCCTTAAACCACTGCGCCACTCGGGAGGATATCTATGAGGGTGCCCATGTTAACAGATTTAGGGTTGTACCTGGTAGGTTCGTTGATAATTTGTGTGAGATTGAGGGCATCTAGTTTAGATTGTAGGTTGGCCGGGGTGTTAAGCATATCCCAGTTTAGGTCACCAAGCAGTACGAACTCTGAGGATAGATGGGGGGCAATCAGTTCACATATGGTGTCCAGGGCACAGCTCGGGGCTGAGGGGGGTCTGTAGCAAGCGACAACAGTGAGAGACTTATTTCTGGAAAGGTGGATTTTTAGTAGTAGAAGCTCAAACTATTTGGGCACAGACCTGGATAGTACGATAGAGCTCTGCAGGCTCTCTCTACAGTAGATTGCAACTCCACCCCCTTTGGCAGTTCTATCTTGACGGAAAATGTTATAGTTGGGTATGGAAATTTCAGAATTTTTGGTGGCCTTCCTAAGCCAGGATTCAGACACTGCTAGAACATCAGGGTTGGCGGAGTGTGCTAACGCAGTGAATAACTCAAACTTAGGGAGGAGGCTTCGAACGTTAACGTGCAAGAAACCAAGGCTTTTACGGATACGGAAGTCAACAAATGATAACACCTGGGGAGTAGGAGTGATACTGGGGGCCAATGGGGCCCCTGGCGGTCAGGAGCCCCTAGGCATGATTATTACAAGTTTAGATAGCTGGCTAGACTAACTTACCAATCTAAAAAAAATAATTAGCTGACATGGGCTAATTGAGTGACTGTCATAATAAGATAGTAACTGCTGATGCACCTTGTGTATTGTATTATTCTAAAAGGCACTGCATGGTCAATCCGACGTCTGCATTGGAACATGCAACATGAAACGTGCAACATTTACGGTGATACGGCCTCTGCAGAAGCCAGGGCATTCACACTTCTTTCGTTTCACGGAGAGGTGCAGAGCTGTTGAGCAGAGCTGTTGTGAAGGAAGTTGTCAAGGAAGTGAGTTTGTGTTTATACAGGACATCCCGCCCCCCGCCTACCGTCAACCAATCACGTCAATGCAGAGCTGTACGGAGCCCTCAGCATTGTTTTTAAAAAAATTGGGAGGCGCACGGCGATGCGGTACGGAGCTCAATTTAGTCTCTGCGTGCCTCCGTAGGCTACGCAATTGTGTCACACCCTCCACACGGAGCAGGGTGAAAGCCAATGTTTGATCCAAAAATGTGGTCGACGGCTGACTGAGTTATTTTAGGGCCAGGCCTAGCTATACCCCCAATTCCACACTTCCCCTCCTGTAGTATAAACGTGTTGTTTGTATGACGTCTGTAGCGATCCCATGGGGACATTTACATTTGACATTTTAGTCATTTAGCAGACGCTCTTATCCAGAGCGACTTACAGTTAGTGAGTGCATATATGTTTTTGTTTTGTTTTTTGAGAGTGAGCTGGCAACCGGAGGGTTGATGGTATCAGTATCGTAGATGCCTTCTCCTGCCGTTGTGCCCTTGAGAAAGACACTTAACCGTCATTACGGCGCTGTATTGCGACTAGACCGGTTCTTCCAACCCCTCTGTGTGCGTGCATGCATGGCTGACGTCTGCTCTGCTCTACAGGCATGATCAACATCCCTGCAGTGGCTCTGGGGATGTTCTCAGGGGGTGTGGTCATGAAGAAGTTCAAGCTGGGCATCATGGGAGCTGCTAAATTCGCATTCGGGACCTCCCTCCTGGGTTACTTCCTGTCCCTCTTCTTCTTCGCCATGGGCTGTGACAACGCCAAGGTGGCCGGGATAACCATGTCATACACAGGGTAAGTCTTCAAGATGGATGCCAACCTCCCCCATCATCTTTTATGTATTCAACTAAACTCTATTGGGAACGAGTAGCTATTCTTAGAGACACTCAGGATAGAGAAAAACATGTCACTCGAAACAGAGTCGCTAAGAACTGACCTAGACAAGTCTGTGTAAATGAGTAAACACTGATCAGTGTAGCTGGCAGTAGATGTTCTGCCAGATCTTTCTATATCTACGTACGTTTATAACCCATAATCTAATACATACTGTACCTTTTCACCTATTTACTGGTAACATATTGTTTCTCCATCTGTCTCCAGGGTGGAGGGGTTGTCGTACCAGGAGCCATCTCTGTTCTCTGAGTGTAACTCTGGCTGCCTGTGCTCCGGGAGGGACTGGGACCCTGTCTGTGGAGAGAACGGGATCACGTATGTGTCCCCCTGTTTGGCTGGCTGTACATCCTCTACCGGAGCTGGCAAAAACACGGTTAGATGATATCTTAGCATTCCCCTTGGGCTTATACACGGAGTATACAAAACATTAAGAACTGCTCTTTCCATGACATAGACTGACCAGGTGAATCCAGTGGGAAGCTATGATCCCTTATTGATGTCACTTATTAAATCCACTTCAATCATTGTAGATGAAGGGGAGGAGACAGGTTAAATAAGGATTTTTAAGCCTTGAGACAATTAAGACATGGATTGTGTATGTGTGCCATTCAGAGGGTGAATGGGCAAGACCACCGGTTTGTGTCAAGAACTGCAACGCTGTTGGGATTTTCACGCTCAACAGTTTCCCGTGTGTATCAAGCATGGTCCGCCACCCAAAGGACATCCAGCCAACTTGACACAACCGTGGGATACATAGGCGTCAACATGAGCCACCATCCCTGTGGAACGCTTTCGACACCTTGTAGAGTCCATGCCCTGACGAATTGAGTCTGTTCTGAGGGCAAAAGGGATGGGGTGCAACTCAATATTAGTGAGGTGTTTTTGATGTTTGGTATACTCAGTACTCAGTGTATGTACACAGGCAGTTTAGTAGTTATGTGAAGTCATGAGGTGGAGACAAATATATGGAACCCCCGCCTCTAGTGGCCTTTTTACATTTACGTCATTTAGCAGACGCTCTTATCCAGAGTGACTTACAAATTGGTGCATTCACCTTATGATAGCCAGTGGGATAACCACTTTACGATGTATTTATTTTATATTTTTCAAATCTTTCGAGTATATTTTCAATTTTCATTTGTTTTATATGTATATATTTATATCAACTTTTTAAAATGTATATATATATATTTATATTTTTTTTTTTGTGGGGGTGGGGTAGGTGGGGGTAGAAGGATTACTTTTATACTATCCCAGGTATTCCTTAAAGAGGTAGGGTTTCAAGTGTCTCCGGAAGGTGGTCAGTGACTCTGCTGTAGTCTGAAGTAGATAACAGTCACCACCAGTCCAGACTCCCTGGAGATATTATTGCAGTGTTTTACTACTCAGTGATTCCCTCCCTCTGTCCTCTCCCCCAGGTGTTTGGCCAGTGCAGGTGTGTTGCATTGACAGGGGCAGGTTCTCAGCCCAGTAACCTGACTGCCTCCCTGGGTCACTGTCCAATCAGAGACAGCTGTGACAGAATGTTCCCCTACTTCCTCTTTCTGTCTGTCATCACTTCCTTCATCATCTCTTTGGGGGGAACGCCAGGCTTCGTGCTTCTCATCAGGTCAGTGAGGCCCTCTAGTGGATGGACTGGATAAATGCAACAATGCTTTCTATGATACACAATGGGTTGTATCCTAATGTGTTCAATTTGGGGAAACCGTTTTGATGTCACTCAAGTTCAAGTTGCTCACAACAGTTAGGATTAAGTTTAGTTGGTCTTAAAAGGACCTCCCCTAACTCTCTAATGATCTTCCTATAGGTGCATTAAGCCTGAATTAAAATCAATTGCTCTTGGAATCCACACGTTGGCCACCCGGACCCTTGGTGAGTATCACTTATGTCCTCGGTTGACTGATTGATTGAGTTAGTCAATGATTCATTGATTCATTGATTGATTTTAGCTGGCATCCCTGCACCTATCTACTTCGGAGCCATCATAGACACCACCTGTTTAAAGTGGGGAAACACAAAATGCGGAGGAAGAGGAGCGTGCAGAATCTACAACACGACAGCCTACAGGTAAAACACATAGGGGGCCGATTCAGACTTAGGAAACTACGCCTTTCCTACGCACTTCTCAGTAGTTGGTATTCAGACATACCTTACGCAGGTGCATAATGTCTTTGCAGGCGTGGTTCCCTTGCCCGCGCTGAATAAATGTAATTCAACAGCTGAAAACCCTCCCACTTGCTTTCCAACAGATTTTCTCGTCATTCAATACGGTTTTCAGTACATTTATCTAAAGCCATTCCTGAAATTTCCTCGACAGACTTACTAGAATACAGTGGGGGAAAAAGTATTTAATCAGCCACCAATTGTGCAAGTTCTCCCACTTAAAAAGATGAGAGAGGCCTGTAATTTACATCATAGGTACACGTCAACTATGACAGACAAATTGAGAAAAAAAAATCCAGAAAATCACATTGTAGGATTTGTAATGAATTTATTTGCAAATTATGGTGGAAAATAAGTATTTGGTCACCTACAAACAAGCAAGATTTCTGGCTCTCACAGACCTGTAACTCCTCTGTCCTCCACTCGTTACCTGTATTAATGGCACCTGTTTGAACTTGTTATCAGTATAAAAGACACCTGTCCACAACCTCAAACAGTCACACTCCAAACTCCACTATGGAGACCAAAGAGCTGTCAAAGGACACCAGAAACAAAATTGTAGACCTGCACCAGGCTGGGAAGAACTGAACTGAATCTGCAATAGGTAAGCAGCTTGGTTTGAAGAAATCAACTGTGGGAGCAATTATTAGGAAATGGAAGACATACAAGACCACTGATAATCTCCCTCGATCTGGGGCTCCACGCAAGATCACACCCCGTGGGGTCAAAATGATCACAAGAACGTTGAGCAAAAATCCCAGAACCACACGGGGGGACCTAGTGAATGACCTGCAGAGAGCTGGGACCAAAGTAACAAAGCCTACCATCAGTAACACACTACGCCGCCAGGGACTCAAATCCTGCAGTGCAAGACGTGTCCCCCTGCTTAAGCCAGTACATGTCCAGGCCCGTCTGAAGTTTGCTAGAGTGCATTTGGACGATCCAGAAGAGGATTGGGAGAATGTCATATGGTCAGATGAAACCAAAATAGAACTTTTTGGTAAAAACTCAACTCGTCGTGTTTGGAGGACAAAGAATGCTGAGTTGCATCCAAAGAACACCATACCTACTGTGAAGCATGGGGGTGGAAACATCATGCTTTGGGGCTGTTTTTCTGCAAAGGGACCAGGACGACTGATCCGTGTAAAGGAAAGAATGAATGGGGCCATGTATCATGAGATTTTGAGTGAAAACCTCCTTCCATCAGCAAGGGCATTGAAGATGAAACGTGGCTGGGTCTTTCAGCATGACAATGATCCCAAACACACCGCCCGGGCAACGAAGGAGTGGCTTCGTAAGATGCATTTCAAGGTCCTGGAGTGGCCTAGCCAGTCTCCAGATCTCAACCCCATAGAAAATCTTTGGAGGGAGTTAAAAGTCTGTGTTGCCCAGCAACAGCCCCAAAACATCACTGCTCTAGAGGAGATCTGCATGGAGGAATGGGCCAAAATACCAGCAACAGTGTGTGAAAACCTTGTGAAGACTTACAGAAAACGTTTGACCTGTGTCATTGCCAACAAAGGGTATATAACAAAGTATTGAGAAACTTTTGTTATTGACCAAATACTTATTTTCCAACATAATTTGCAAATAAATTCATTAAAAATCCTACAATGATACTTTTTTCCCCCACTGTATATGAAGAGAACGGTTCAGAATATAGGGATCAATGAAAGAAAGACATGTAAACACACGCATATTAGTCTCCTTTTCAGTACCAATTGGTCAATTTAAAAATTCTCTGATGTTGTATGTTATTTAGGGTTAGGAAAGTATGAATAATATAAAAAACTGGTTTGGAGAGCCTTTACGCACAAAATATAGTGGTTTGATTCTTCCTGAAAGTTGCCATATTGAATTGTTCAATGCATGAAATATTAGAAGTTGACAAAAGTGTACAATAAGGGTTGAACAGTAGTATTATAAATCTACCCTAGTAATCCTCACTAATCATGGAATCCTCACTAATCATGGAATCCTCAATAATCATGGAATCCTCACTAATCATGGAATCCTCAATAATCATGGAATCCTCACTAATCATGGAATCCTCAATAATCATGGAATCCTCAATAATCATGGAATCCTCACTAATCATGGAATCCTCAATACTCATGGAATCCTCAATAATCATGGAATCCTCACTAATCATGGAATCCTTACTAATCATGGAATCCTCACTAATCATGGAATCCTCACTAATCATCGAATCTTCAATAATCATGGAACTGTTATGACGGTCCAGTCGTCGTGAACCATGTGCCAGGCTCCAGGTTTATGATCTACATTCCATAATGATTCAAATAGGCTACATGTCCCATATTATTGCACAACTTGTAATACGTTAGCCTAGTATGATCCACTATTGCTAGCGATCCTTGGGAACAACCACACGAACGTGACAGAGGAAAGAAAGGTAAACTAACTCATGTAATGGAATGATGCAAAATGTAAGGAAACTAACACTAAAATAACAGTTATAAATGTATGTGGGTGTAACTGACGGGGGCTACTGATAGTGATGTTAGGTTCTAAACAAACAGAGCAAAAACTCAAACGGATGACTAGGAAAAGCTCATACCAAGTTTATTCACCCACTGGGTCATACAGCTGCAAAGACAAGTCACATAAGCACATCTTAAGTTGAATACCATGCTTCAGTTCAAGGTCAGAATACGCATAAAGAGAAAAGTGCATAAAAAGGGGAAATACTTTTCATTCACCTGCGCTTAACTCGGGTCAGAATCCCCACCCTGGGGGCCAATTCAGATGTAGGAATGTACACCTTTCCTAACCACACCTTTCCTATGCACTTCTCAGTATTTGGTATTCAGACTTAGCTTACTCAGTCGCGTAAAGCGCTTTGCAGGTGAGGCTACCTTGTACCCTCTGAATACATTTCATTAAACCGCTAAAAAACCCTCCCATAGGGTTCTCAGTCCATTTATCTTAAGCCATCCCTTTAAATACGTTGTACCTTTTTAGTTAGAATTTTGTTGGATCAATGAAAGAAAGCCATCTAAATATATGCATATTCTTCTCCGTTTCAAAACCAATTGTAGGGTTTGGAAAGTATTTATGAATCATAAAAAACAGGTTTGGAGAGCCTTTACGCACTGAAAGAAAGAAAACGGTGGTTTGATTCATTCTGAAAATGTCCACATTCAGTTCTTCAACCCATGGTAATGTTGGAAGATTAGTGTACATAGAATTATAATAGGGTGAATAATGTACAATATAATTATAATAGGGTGAATAGTGTACAATAGTAGGCTGTACCCTCTTCTTTTGTCTGCACTAACCATGGAACTCTACTAATACACGGCCAAGTATTGCGCCATGTTTCGGTTCAAACTGTTATGGCTTGGTCTGCTCTCCACTCCATAAGGATTTAATTAGCCTGCATGTCTTTAAAAATATATATATTATCAACTTTGACTAATGATCGTCGGCAACAACCACACGGCCGTGACGGTGTTTACACAGGAAGCAAATGAAGGATAATGAAACAACGTCATTAAATGGAATGTTAATGTAGGCTATACCACCTGAAGGGAACTAACAATGTAATTAACCGGAATGATAATGTAGTCTATACCACCTGAAGGGAACTAACAATGTAATCAAATGGAATGATAATGTAGTCTATACCAACTGAAGGGAACTAACAATGTAATTAAATGGAATGATAATGTAGTCTATACCAACTGAAGGGAACTGACAGTACATTGGCAGGTGAATATGTGTGGTTATTATGCCTATAGATGGTCGATACTGATAGTGGCTAATATTTAACATGATAGAAATAGGAAACAGAGAAAGTCGGGGATAGCCTATAATTAAGGCATTCAAGAGTGCCCATCCCTGCAAGTTAAAAGGCCATATAGTTTAGGTAGGTTCGCTAGACCTTATTCATGGTTTCCTCGCACGTAAAGGTGTTGGAATTATGAGGGAATTAAGTCAAGGTCAGAATACGGCATATCTGCAGACACACCTTCATTTATTCGATCTCCACCCCGAACGAATAGCAGGTGAATTGCATGCTATTCTCATGCTTAAGCTCAAGGTCAGAATACGCATAGAGCGAAAAGTGCATTAAAAGGGACTAACGTTGTCACGTACGTTAAGAGACGGGTCGGACCAAGGTGCAGCGTGAAAAGCATACCAAAAATAACAAACTTAACCGTGACTGTCCAAAGGGCTAACACACAAGCCTAAACAGGAACACAACAAGATCCCACAACACAGGCAGGAAAACTGGCTGCCTAAGTATGATCCCCAATCAGAGACAACGAGCGACAGCTGCCTCTGATTGGGAACCACACCCGGCCAAACATAGAAATACAAACATAGAATCAAAACTCAAATGATATTCACACCCTGACCAAACTAACTAGAGTTCTATCGGTCAGGGCGTGACAAACGTTCCATGTGCATGCTTAACTCAGGTCGGAATAACCCCTTAGTGAATCTCTACCATACAGCTCCTAGCACCATACCTACTGTATCTCTCTTTGGATAGGGGTAGCCTACAATGGTTTTAGTATATACTTCCTTTCCTGTTTTTAGTATTCATGCTCTCTGCTCTATTTTAGGGCAACAGTTTACATTAACGTACAGTGGTACTTTAGAATAGTGTACTTCAAGCACTTACAACCCCATTAAAATGGTACCTTCATGTAAAATGTAACCTATTTTAGTTTATTCTGAGTGTTCACTCTCTCCTCTGTTCTAGGATAGTATACCTGGGTCTGACTCTGGTCCTAAGGACTGGAAAGGGGATACGGACTGTAGTCAGTTGTACAACTGAATGCATTCAACCAAAATGTTTTTTCCGCAATTAACCCAACCCCTCTGATTCCGAGAGGTGGGGGGGGGGGGCTGCCTAATCAACGTCATCGGCGCCCAGGGAGCAGTTGTTGTTGGAGGTTAACTGCCTTGCTCAAGGGCGGAACGGCAGATCTTTCCACTTTGAACACTCAGGGATTCAAACCAGCAACTTTTCGGTTAATGGCCCGACGCTCTTAACCGCTAGGCTACCTGCTGTCTCTTGCTTCCTGTGTATACTGGCTTTCCCTAACCTTAATCCTAACTCTGACCCTAATCCTAACTATAATATAATAATAATATGCCATTTAGCAGACGCTTTTATCCAAAGCATACATTTTTACGTATGGGTGGTCCCGGGGATCAAACCCACTACCCTGGCGTTACAAGCGCCATGCTCTACTAATTGAGCTACAGAGGACCACTAACTCTGACCCTATCCCTAACCCTAACCCTAATCCTAACTCTGACCCTATCCCTAACCCTAATCCTAACTCTGACCCTATCCCTAACCCTAATCCTAACTCTGACCCTATCCCTAACCTTAACCCTAATCCTAACTCTGACCCTATCCCTAACCCTAACCCTAATCCTAACTCTGACCCTATTCCTAACCCTAACCCTAATCCTAACTCTGACCCTATCCCTAACCCTAACCCTAATCCTAACTCTGACCCTATCCCTAACCCTAACCCTAATCCTAACTCTGACCCTAACCCTAACTCTGACCCTATCCCTAACCCTAATCTCTCCTCTGTTCTGTTCTAGGATAGTATACCTGGGTCTGACTCTGGGCCTGAGGACTGTCTCTTTCTTCCTGTGTATACTGGGCTTCGCTCTACTCAGGAGGCACGTCAAGCAGGAAGAGAAAATGGCACTGACCAATGGGAATGTAGAGATGGAGGCCGAGTCTCTCAGGAAAGAGGAGATCACCAACTCTACACACTGTGACCAGTTTGTAAGGGCGCTGGACTGTAACCCTGACAGGGAGACACGCCTTTGATGGTCGTCAATAGCTCAGCATTGCTCGACTCCAAGATGGAATGAAACAGGTGCCGGTGTAGCAACCTTTGCCTACATAAGCTAGTTGTGATCCCCCCCAAGTGGGTTAACCCTATTGGAGTAGACTGTGTTTAGCAAGTTTGCCAACAGTCTGAGAGGCCCATGTTTGCACTGTCGACCATTCACTACAACGGTAATCATTTTAACAGTACTAGTGTTAATTAATTTAGAGTGAATATTCAGAAAATAGTTTGTGAGAGGTGTCAGTACCCGGTACTCACGTTTGTGGCGCTGGTACTGCATACCGGTGTGTACTGGTCCACTGACCCAATGCATGCCCTGACATCTCCTTTTTAAGTATTTTTCCACCCTGAAGACAAGCGATTTAGCTAGGAGAGAAGAGCATAAAGTCTATTTGTACTGTACTCCTGTAGACAATGTGAAAAAATATAGTTGTTTTTGTTTATACAGTACCTAGTGAAAGTATACACACACCCTTGCACAGTATTCACATTTTGCTGTCTTAAATTTGTTATCTAAAAAGGGATTCAATTATTTTTTTCCCTTCACATCTACACAACCTACTCTACATTATCAAAGTGAAAGAAAGTTCTAGAACATTTTCCAAATTAAAACAAATATATACTGAACAAAAAATATAAATGCAACATGAAACAATTTCAAAGATTTTACTGAGTTACAGTTCATATAAGAAAACTGAAATAGATTAATTAGGCCCTAATCTATGGATTTCACATGACTGGGAATACAGATACGCATCTGTTGGTCACAGATACCTTAGAAAAAAAGGTAGGGGCGTGGATCAGAAAAACAGTCAGTACCTAGTGTGACCACCATTTGCCTCATGCAGCGCGACACATCTCCTTCGCATAGAGTTAATCATTCCCACTCCACTTCAATGGCTGTGCAAACTTGCTGGATATTGCCTGGAACCAGAGCATCCCAAACATGCTCAATGGGCGACATGTCTGAGTATGCAGGCCATGGAAGAACTGGGACATTTTCAGCTTCCAGGAATTGTGTACAGATCCTTGCAACATGGGGCTGTGCATTAGCTGAAACATTAGGTGATGGCAGAGGATACTAACAGGGATATAAACACATTTGTGCACAAAATGTGAAATAAATAAGCTTTTTGTGCATATGGAACATTTCTGGGATCTTTTATTTCAGCTCATGAAACATGGGACAAACACTTTACATGTTGCATTTATATTTTTGTTCAGTGTAGATATTTACTGTGGTTGGTACAATCTTATTAAAAATTATTCACAGTTGTAATGGCTGCCGAAGATGCTTCCATCCTCATTTTATATTTCTTAGTAATTTGGAAAATGTTCTATAATTTTCTTTCACTTAAACATTTGAAGTAGGTTGTGTAGATAGAGAAATCTGATTTAATCCATTGTTATGTTTTATTGTAAGGCAGCAAAAGAAGACTGCAAGCGGTGATTAGACTCACTACAGACTGTATAGAACAAAAATACATTTCTTGAATGTTAAAAAAATCACATTTGTGTTTTACATAAATGGAACCAGTTTTGTTTTTGTAGAAAGGAATGTAATGTTTTGTTTGTTAATGGTTTATGTAGAAATTATTGCTTTATGTCTGTATTTTAAATGGGGTCTGTAGGTTGGTCATGTGTTTCATTTCTTGGCTTTGGTTTGAAATCTGAAGAGATGAATGTGTCAGTATTATCTAGTATTTTCTATTTATTGAATGATAAAATTTATGAGGGAACAGTTCCACTTCCACTTCCATACATACTGTAGGTTCCATAAACTGATCACTTCAGGTGGACAATGACCAAATAAAATGCAATGACCTCACGTACAAAAGTGACATTTTGAGCCTATAACTTGATCCTAGCCTGCCCCAGATTGTCAAGACAGCACACCAATACCTCACTGTATTAATCTACCTGATTGCAGACCTGGGATAAGCGTAGTTCTAAATATGCTTTGTGGAAAGTAACTATTTTGGGGGGGTAGAACAGACCCCAGGTGTAGATAATCAACTTTGAACCTCTTTGTCCGTCTCAATGTTCTTGTTTTCAAACACACACTATACCATCTTTAAAGGGATAGTTTACTCAGAATACAAATGAACATGATTTTTCCACCTACTTTGCTGTGGTTGATTCAAGAAGGCAGTTTTGGGATGTTTAGTCCCTTACACTTAATAGCCATAATTGAACAGTTGCTGTTAGCATTCTTGGTAATATTAAACTGTTATTGAGCCTGTGTAATAACAATGTAATTACTTTTAGAGCAACATTTTATTAGTGTGATGCATAATACTTTGGTAATCACATTTAAATTGCATAGCAATGAGCTGAGAGGTTTTATAACAACTGAACAGAAAAGCAATCATAACTGTTCCTATCCAATGTATCAACAATGTTGCTGTTGTTGTAATCACAAAGTTACTACATATGTATAAGAACTTGATGTCAAGTGTTACTGCATTACAGTACCTTATTTACATTTTACATTTTAGTCATTTAGCAGACGCTCTTATCCAGAGCGACTTACAGTTAGTGAATGCATACATTTTTCATACTGGCCCCCCTATTTAAATTATTTTGAAAATGAAAAAGTGTTCTACTCTAATGTTGAGATGAGTCTATGTCCTTTACAAACAATTGCCAAATTATTTTTCTCCAAACCATGTGCTAATGAGCTAATTCAGCTAACTGTTGTAGTTTTTGGTTCTTCATCAAATATCTGTCAGCCATTTTTTTGTTTTCAAATAACTTTCATATATTCAAAGGATAGTATTAATTGTTTTCTGAGACCTGTGTTTGAATATCAAAATAAATAATTGCCTTTAGTTTTTTTTAACTAAACATTTCCTATATTTGACTACCTTGAGTATTTGAAAAGTTGGTATTTCAAATAAACTAAAAGATACAACTATTTAGTACCCAGGCCTATTCTAATGTATTGAGTCCCCAGTGTGCCTAGTCATTTTAACAATGGAAATACAGTTGTTTTTCAAAACGTACTGTATCGACTGTCCTGTCTTCCCTCATCTGACCTACATTCCCTGTCCTGTCTTCCCACATCTCACCTACATTCCCTCTCCTGTCTTCCCACATCTCACCTACATTACCTGTCCTGTCTTCCCACATCTCACCTACATTCCCTCTCCTGTCTTCCCACATCTCACCTACATTACCTGTCCTGTCTTCCCACATCTCACCTACATTACCTGTCCTGTCTTCCCACATCTCACCTACATTACCTGTCCTGTCTTCCCTCATCTCACCTACATTACCTGTCCTGTCTTCCCACATCTCACCTACATTCCCTCCTGTCTTCCCACATCTACCTACATTACCTCCGTCTTCCCCATCTGACCTACATTCCTCTGTTTCCCACATCTCACTACATTCCTCTCCTGTCTTCCACATCTCACCTACATTACCTGTCCTGTCTTCCCACATCTCACCTACATTACCTGTCCTGTCTTCCCTCATCTCACCTACATTACCTGTCCTGTCTTCCCTCATCTCACCTACATTACCTGTCCTGTCTTCCCTCATCTGACCTACATTCCCTCTCCTGTCTTCCCACATCTCACCTACATTACCTGTCCTGTCTTCCCACATATCACCTACATTACCTGTCCTGTCTTCCCACATCTCACCTACATTACCTGTCCTGTCTTCCCACATCTCACCTACATTACCTGTCCTGTCTTCCCACATCTCACCTACATTACCTGTCCTGTCTTCCCACATCTCACCTACATTACCTGTCCTGTCTTCCCTCATCTCACCTACATTACCTGTCCTGTCTTCCCACATCTCACCTACATTACCTGTCCTGTCTTCCCACATCTCACCTACATACCTCTCCGTCTTCCCAATCTCGCGACTGTCTTCCTCATCTCACCTACATTACCTGTCCTGTCTTCCCACATATCACCTACATTACCTGTCCTGTCTTTCCACATCTCACCTACATTACCTGTCCTGTCTTCTATTTCTATCTGCATCATGCAGTCCCTGATACAGCGCTGCCTTTAGTTGAAAGCAGCTAATCCAATAGTTTCTGTTCCAGATACAACCCTCCCATTAGTTAAAGGCATCCAATCCAATCATTTTTGAAAAGTTGTTCCTTCCAGAAATCTGTATTCCAATATATTTCTTGAAGTAGTCATTTTTAGGGATTTGTATTCAAATTGTCACCTCCAAATTAACAATCCCCCCCCCTCCTTTTTCTGCCCTGTCTTCCCACATATCACCTACATTACCTGCCCTGTTCTTCCCACATATCACCTACATTACCTGTCCTGTCTTCCCACATCTCACCTACATTACCTCTTCAGTTCATGCTTTCCTTATACTGTACATAATGCCTCAAACACCGGATTAGTTCAAATGTTTGTATTTTATTCATTGAACATAAGAGGATCATGTCACTTCACGTTACTCAGCAAAAACAAATTCACAGTTGTTCTGAGGGTATACCCTCCACATAACCAGTTCTGGTTGTAAACTGTGACATCATTTCAACCAGTTTTGCCCACTGGGTACACATGTAAAACAGGACTCGGCATTTCATGAGCTGAAAGCTCTGCATATTTGCATAATGTACTTTGAGTGTATACTATACTAGTATTATACTATGTAGTACTAATGTACTATACTATTTAAGACCATACGTTAAAGACACAAAATCCGCTGTTCCTTCTTTAACCATGACACAATTTTAGCCCCATATCTTAGATACAATACAAATACATGTGGATACATTGAATAACAAGTATTGAATAACTGTACCTTTCCCATGCACAGTACAGTACACATAAGACAGAGATTAATGAAGAGTTGCTCAGCTGAATAGCAGGTATCCATGTGAAGTCACACAGCTGTCCTTCTGTCTTTGACACTATTAATCTGGAGCAAAGATTTGAACCAGTGCTTATTGTTCCTTCTTGTCTTCGGTTCCACCCTGTAGATTCTGCTTTCAAATAGTAATAGACACAATAGATAGTGAAGAGGGGAAATCAGTCCTTATCAATGTTGGTGAAAAGTTAATTGCGATTCATTTATGGGGGTAGATTAGGGTCAAATGAATTGAGAACAAATCACAAATATGTACCATGATTCATGTGTAATGTGTGTGTGTGCGCGTGTGTGTGCATGTGTGTGCGTGTGTGCTTGTGTTGTGTATGTGCGTGTGTGCGTGCGTGTGTTTGTGCGTGTTTGTTTGTGCGTGTATGTGTTTGTGTGTGTGCGTGTCTGTGCGTGTGTGTGCGTGAGTGTGTGTGCGTTTGTGCGTTTGTGTGTGTGTGTGTGTGTGTGTGTTTGTGTGTGTGTGTGTTTGTGCGTGTGTGCGTGTGTGTTTGTGTGTTTGTGTGTTTGTGTGTGTGTGTGTGTTTGTGTGTGTGTGTGTGTGTGTGTGTGTGTGTGTGTTTGTGTGTGTGTGTGTGTGTGTTTGTGCGTTTGTGCGTGTGTGCGTGTGTGCGTGTGTGCGTGTGTGTGTGTGTGTGTGTGTGTGTGTGTGTGTGTGTGTGTGTGTGTGTGTGTGTGTATTACCTGTAGTTCGTTGTGCTTTGTCAGCAGTCTGTCATACTCCTTTGTCAGACCGTTAGCCTGCCTCTTCATGGCCTCCACCTCAGCATTAGATTTACGCACAGCTGCACAAACACACACTTCACTCACATATACTGACATATAGATTTATATGACAACTGTCTTTGAAATTGGAGACAGCAGCCTACATGCAAAAGTTAAGCTATTATTCGGATGTGCGAGACTAGAGCTCTGGCGGTCCCAAAGTTCTGTCAGCCGGTGATTGTGAAGCAAATAACTGTCGGTCTCATGGTAATTTACCTTTAATTGACATAAACACATTTAGCATCTCCTGGCTTCCACACATAGCCTACAAGCCACTGGTGCAGACCTTTGGAACATCTACATTAAAAAAAAAAGTCTAATACATCCATGTAATATAGCCTACACCTTCACAATAAATCCATTATTTATTTTAGACAGGTCTATAGAAACATGATATGAAGAAAATGTAGTCTATTTCAGAAGAACAGAATAGCATACTCTGAGTTGTCCTTATGTTAGGTCCTGATCTCGCTATGCCATATGGCTGTGGGCTACACTAGTTCATTTAGCAGACAAGATTTGGTTAGATTTCTGTGGCATTATTTTATATTATTTTATAGTATGAAGAATACAATTGAACAAAGCTGAATAAAATAAAAAAGTAAAAATGTTCTCCAAACGATTTGAGGGAGTGCGCAAATGCGGCTATTCTGTGTTGAGCGGTTAACAAAGAAATAGGTACTGCTATTTACTTAATTTAGAGTTATTAATGTACATTTAGTCATTCTACAAACGTTGGGCTATGTTTAGATTTTTAATACATTGTAAGGCTGCATGATGCGACTCTAATGATGATTTGAAAAAAGTCGCTTGAAAGGCATGAACTCTGCTTTGTTTTTTTGCGCAGGCTGTATGCAATTCATCAGTCTCTCATTCATAATTTGACAAGCACTTGATAATGCCTCAAATTTCCCGGCGGCATCCCCTTTGTGTGGCCGTAATGCACCCTAAAAAAATTCATGCCTTTTGCGGCCAGTGGCCATTCTGCCCTTCTCCCTGAGTGCTGCGTGCTCCGAAGCACCTCTCACTCACATGGCTCTCCATCAAGTGATCAGGTCTTTCTCACAGGCTACAAGTGAAGACAGACACTTTGGGGATGCAACTGTGCGTGTCCTTATCCAATTCCGAGGTGCAAATTGAAGATATTGGAAGAACTGTCCACATTTACCTTTCGTCAGCAACAAGATGAGTAGGCCTAACAAACAGCAAAGGCACTAGCCTATGTCAATCTACTATCCCCCATAGTGACCGCAAATGTGATTATGCATGTAATGCTTTTATTGTAAAGGTGCATTTTTATGGTGAAAATTATCTTCCCCAAACTTGAAACTCACGCGCTGCTAATGCCTCTACACCCCTTGTAAAGCGGACTAATGTGCTTAATTTTAAGAAGTTATTTGGTCACTTTAGTTGTGATACAAACCTTATCAAAACATATAGGCCTATGGGCTAGGCTACTTGAGGTGTGTGACTATGATTCGAAAAAGTCGCAAAAAAAAGGCATTGTTTCTTGCCTTACGCTGGGCATCATTCACAAGTGATAATATATCATTCAGAAGTGATAGGCTAATATTGTCACCCATCAGACTATTCTTGATTTAATCTTGTCTTTACATATACTAGATGATATACAGTGGGGAGAACAAGTATTTGATACACTGCCGATTTTGCAGGTTTTCCTACTTACAAAGCATGTAGAGGTCTGTAATTTTTATCGTAGGTACACTTCAACTGTGAGAGACGGAATCTAAAACAAAAATCCAGAAAATCACATTGTATGATTTTTAAGTAATTAATTTGCATTTTATTGCATGACATAAGTATTTGATCACCTACCAACCAGTAAGCATTCCGGCTCTCACAGACCTGTTAGTTTTTCTTTAAGAAGCCCTCCTGTTCTCCACTCATTACCTGTATTAACTGCACCTGTTTGAACTCTTTACCTGTATAAAAGACACCTGTCCACACACTCAATCAAACAGACTCCAACCTCTCCACAATGGCCAAGACCAGAGAGCTGTGTAAGGACATCAGGGATAAAATTGTAGACCTGCACAAGGCTGGGATTGGCTACAGGACAATAGGCAAGCAGCTTGGTGAGAAGGCAACAACTGTTGGCGCAATTATTAGAAAATGGAAGAAGTTCAAGATGACGGTCAATCACCCTCGGTCTGGGGCTCCATGCAAGATCTCACCTCGTGGGGCATCAATGATCATGAGGAAGGTGAGGGATCAGTCCAGAACTACACGGCAGGACCTGGTCAATGACCTGAAGAGAGCTGGGACCACAGTCTCAAAGAAAACCATTAGTAACACACTACGCCGTCATGGATTAAAATCCTGCAGCGCACGCAAGGTCCCCCCTGCTCAAGCCAGCGCATGTCCAGGCCCGTCTGAAGTTTGCCAATGACCATCTGGATGATCCAGAGGAGGAATGGGAGAAGGTCATGTGGTCTTATGAGACAAAAATAGAGCTTTTTGATCTAAACTCCACTCGCCGTGTTTGGAGGAAGAAGAAGGATGAGTACAACCTCAAGAACTCCATCCAAACTGTGAAGCATGGAGGTGGAAACATCATTCTTTGGGGATGTTTTTCTGCAAAGGGGACAGGACGACTGCACCGTATTGAGGGGAGGATGGATGGGGCCATGTATCGCAAGATATTGGCCAACAACCTCCTTCCCTCAGTAAGAGCATTGAAGATGGGTCGTGGCTGGGTCTTCCAGCATGACAATGACCCGAAACACACAGCCAGGGCAACTAAGGAGTGGCTCCGTAAGAAGCATCTCAAGGTCCTGGGGTGGCCTAGCCAGTTTCCAGACCTGAACCCAATAGAACATCTTTGGAGGGAGCTGAATGTCTGTATTGCCCAGCGACAGCCCCGAAACCTGAAGGATCTGGAGAAGGTCTGTATGGAGGAGTGGGCCAAAATCCCTGCTGCAGTGTGTGCAAACCTGGTCAAGACCTACAGGAAACGTATGATCTCTGTAATTGCAAACAAAGGTTTCTGTACCAAATATTAAGTTCTGCTTTTCTGATGTATCAAATATTTATGTCATGCAATAAAATGCAAATTAATTACTTAAAAGTCATACAATGTGATTTTCTGGATTTTTTTTCTGGTTTTAGATTCCGTCTCTCACAGTTGAAGTGTACCTATGATAACAATTACAGACCTCTACATGCTTTGTAAGTAGGAAAACCTGCAAAATCGGCAGTATATCAAATACTTGTTCTCCACACTGTATGTGTGAAATTAGTTTTGATTTAGAATGGACCATTATCATGCACCAGTCTTGAAACAGGTGCAAGGGAAATAAAACACTTAAATAGCGAATGGAGGATGCATTTCCCGTGGTTCATTTTCATACCAGTGCTTAATATTAGGAAAGTTGAGAAATAAATATAGTAGGCCTAGCCTATAGAAAGCTGATGGGATCCTCCTCTTTTTAATAGAGGCCATCACTCTGTTTTCTCGCGCAATTGCATAGCCTATAGAAATGTTGCTCAACATGAGCTCATGGGCTCTCATGAAGTGTTTGATTAGATTTTTGCTCTACATTTGCATTGATGTCAGAGTTATTAGAGGGACAATAGAGTGCTGAGTATCAGGCAGTTAGCAAGTTCAAATCAAATCAAATCAAATTTTATTGGCCACATGCTCCGAATACAACAGGTGCAGACATTACAGTGAAATGCTTACTTACAGCCCTTAACCAACAGTGCATTTATTTTTAATAAATAATAAAACAACAAAAAAGTGTTGAGAAAAAAAGAGCAGAAGTAAAATAAAATAACAGTAGGGAGGCTATATATACAGGGGGGTACCGGTACAGAGTCAATGTGCGGGGGCACCGGCTAGTTGAGGTAGTTGAAGTAATATGTACATGTGGGTAGAGTTAAAGTGACTATGCATAAATAATTAACACAGTAGCAGTAGCGTAAAAAGATGGGGTGGGGGGGCAGTACAAATAGTCCGGGTAGCCATGATTAGCTGTTCAGGAGTCTTATGGCTTGGGGGTAGAAGCTGTTGAGAAGTCTTTTGGACCAAGACTTGGCACTCCGGTACCGCTTGCCGTGCGGTAGCAGAGAGAACAGTCTATGACTAGGGTGGCTGGAGTCTTTGACAATTTTGAGGGCCTTCCTCTGACACCGCCTGGTATAGAGGATGGATGGCAGGAAGCTTGGCCCCAGTGATGTACTTGGCCGTACGCACTACCCTCTGTAGTGCCTTGCGGTCGGAGGCCAAGCAGTTGCCATACCAGGCGGTGATGCAACCAGTCAGGATGCTCTCGATGGTGTAGCTGTAGAATTATTTGAGGATCTGAGGACCCATGCCAAATCTTTTCAGTCTCCTGAGGGGGAATAGGCTTTGTCGTGCCCTCTTCACAACTGTCTTGGTGTGTTTGGACCATGATAGTTCGTTGGTGATGTGGACACCAAGGAACTTGAAGCTCTCAACCTGTTCCACTACAGCTCCGTCGATGAGAATGGGGGTGTGCTCAGTCCTCTTTTTTTTTTCTGTAGTCCACAATCATCTCCTTTGTCTTGGTCACGTTGAGGGAGAGGTTGTTGTCCTGGCACCACACGGCCAGGTCTCTGACCTCCTCCCTATAGGCTGTCTCATCGTTGTCGGTGATCAGGCCTACCACTGTTGTGTCGTCGGCAAACTTAATGATGGTGTTGGAATCGTGCCTGGCCATGCAGTCATGGGTGAACAGGGAGTACAGGAGGGGACTGAGCACGCACCCCTGAGGAGCCACCGTGTCGAGGATCAGTGTGGCAGATGTGTTGTTACCTACCCTTACCACCTGGGGGCGGCCCGTCAGGAAGTCCAGGATCCAGTTGCAGAGGGAGGTGTTTAGTCCCAGGATCCTTAGCTTAGTGATGAGCTTTGAGGGCACTATGGTGTTGAATGCTGAGCTGTAGTCAATGAATAGCATTCTCACGTAGGTGTTCCTCTTGTCCAGGTGGGAAAGGGCAGTGTGGAGTGCAATAGAGATTGCATCATCTGTGGATCTGTTGGGGCGGTATGCAAATTTGAGTGGGTCTAGTGTTTCTGGGATAATGGTGTTGATGTGAGCCATGACCAGCCTTTCAAAGCACTTCATGGCTACAGACGTCAGTGCTACGGGTCGGTAGTCATTTAGGCAGGTTATCTTAGAGTCCTTGGGCACGGGGACTATGGTGGTCTGCTTGAAACATGTTGGTATTACAGACTCAGTCAGGGACATGTTCAAAATGTCAGTGAAGACACTTGCCAGTTGGTCAGCACATGCTCGGAGTACACGTCCTGGTAATTCGTCTGGCCCTGCGGCCTTGTGAATGTTGACCTGCTTAAAAGTCTTACTCACATCGGCTACGGAGAGCGTGATCACATAGTCATCCAGAACAGCTGGTGCTCTCATGCATGCTTCAGTGTTGCTTGCCTTGAAGCGAGCATAGAAGTGGTTTAGCGCGTCTGGAAGTCTTGTGTCACTGGGCAGCTCGCAGCTGTGCTTCCCTTTGTAGTCTGTAATAGTTTTCAAGCCCTGCCACATCCGACGAGCATCAGAGCCGGTGTAGTACGATTCAATCTTTGTCCTGTATTGACTCTTTGCCTGTTTGATGGTTCGTTGGAGGGCATAGCAGGATTTCTTATAAGCGTCCGTGTTAGAGTCCCGCTCATTGAAACTTGGTAGGCTACTAATGACCATCAGCAGCATCAGAGCTTGGAGAAGCCTAATTACCATGACTAAACGATCACGTGGCATTTGACTGCCTTCATGACTCGTGACCGCCGGTGTGGCAGTAATATGGTCAACGCAACAGCCGTATCTATATGTACATATCTACCTCAATTACCTCGTACCCCTGCACACCGTCTTGGTACTGGTAGCCCGTGTATATACTGTAGCCAAGTTATCGTCATTGTGTATTTATTCCTCATGTTATTATTTTTCTATATTTTTCTCTCTGCATTGTTGGGGGGGGGGGGTGTAAGTAAGCATTTCACTGTTAGTTTATGAAGCATGTGACAAATAAAACTTGAATCGAAGGCAGGTTTGGAGGTCAATTCCATTTAAATTCAGTTCATTAAAAAAATGCTAAATAAACGCTAAACAGTTTAATTCCTGATTCACTTCCTCATTACCCACCATCCTCTGCAGTCTTCAGTTCCTCCATCAACTTCTCTGCCTCCTTCCTCAGTAGCTGTTTGCTTGCAGTTTTGGCTGTCTCCTCATCCAGCAAAGCCTGAGCAGACAGCACTTTCTTATATTAGTTATTTTATTGTGAGGTAAAATGTTTTATGAATGAACGAATGGTTTATTTGTCCGTTAGGAAAACAATTTCGTTCATCACATGCTGGCATAATGGTGCAATAAAGTGCACACAAACATGAAACACGTCAATGACATCATCTGACAAAAAAATGCCATTCACAACTCCCAGGCTAGCTACAGTTTGTTAAACATTTGTAACTGTGTGTTTTGAGTCTTCCACAAGAGATGAATATTGACTCTCTACATATGAAGTCAGATAATGCCCGTCCCAGGCCCTCTTTCTGACTCTGGCGTTCACCTGTTTCAGAAGCAGGTTCTCCTCCTGGTACTTCTTGGCTGCCTGATTGGCGCTCTCCGCCTGTATTTGCAGGCTGGTCCCTGTTACCGTAGCGATGGCCACCTGGTTTATCAGAGTCACCACACGCCGCATCACACTACAGGGACAAGAAGTGATAAATGAGTGACACACTAACCCGAACTAACCCGAGCCTCAACCATAACTAGGGTTAAACTATTCTGGTAACATTCCAAAAAGTCCCTGGTTTTCCAGAAATCCCGGTTGGAAGATTCCTGGAATCAGGATGGATTAAGCAGGAAATCCAGGAATTTCTGGAAAACCTGTGACTTTTGGGAAATGTTGCAACCCTAACCATAATCCTACCCACAACCCTAACCAAACCCTAACCCCAACCCTAACCACAACCCTAACCACAAAACTAACCATAATCCTAACCACAACCCTAACCATAATCCTAACCATAATCCTAACCATAATCCTAACTTAATGTTCACGTCTCAGTTCAACCCTAACTAGCCTCAACCACAACCCTAACCCCAAGAAGTTGTTGCATGTCATCTAGAGGTTCCTCTGGGATAGAATAGAGGTGGACTCACAGCCAGAGGAACAGGGAGAAGCCAGAGATGTAGAGGTTCCTCTGGGCTCTGAACAGCTTCATGTGGAGATGGTCAAACAGGTTGGGGTTCAGCTTGGCGTCTCCCACGTGCTCCGCACTGGAGTACTTCCTCACCTCCCTCAGAGCATCTTAGGAGGGAGATACAGGGAACAGTTGAACTACTGTCGATGCAGTAGCTACACTCTTAGAAAAAAGGGTTCCAAAATGGTTCTCCATGGGGACAGTGTATGGAGCATGGAGGACTGACTACTCGTATAACAACAGGCTAGAGTTAATAAGCTTGCCCTTTTCCATGGGCTCTGCGCTGGAGTACTGCCTCACCTCTCTCAGAGCATCTTAGGGTGGAAACAGGTGTAACAGTAACATCTAGCAACTAGATTCAGCTGCGGGCCGATGGTCAGGGGGCCGGAAAATAATTCCAAACAATTTGTAGACTGCAAATTGACCGCATGAAGCCCAAACGGATATAATATTTGACTAAAACATAAAAATTTAAAACCTTGCTTACATTTGTATAGAGCACGTACTGTATATCTCTCTATTATGTATGGGAATACTTTGGAACACGTTTCCAAAATTGCTGGTCTTTTTATGTCCACAAAAAAAATAAAAAACGTTTGGGCCTAAATAAAATCACCAGCGGGCTGCCAGTTGGGGAAACCTGGACTACAGGACTCATGGTAACACCGCGTAAAGCCAGGTATAATGCTTCATAACTTGTTGATATGAGCATCTATAAGCCTTTGTAATGTCTTATAATGTGTATAATATGTCACTAGACTATGAGATGAAACTATAGAACCAGGAGAATAACCCACGATCCTATAAAAGCTGTCATTACTTTTCTGACTATCTACAATAGATTCAGTGCTGCTCACCAAAAAAATGCCATACCTGGGACCCAACCAATCTACTGCAAGTATGATGACTCACCACAGAAGAGAACGATGAGTATGAGTATCATGGTAAAGAAACCCCTATTCCAGTACGGAGCCAACCAGTTCCACATACTCAGGTTGAACAGTGATCGCCATCTGCAAAAAGAGAATGAGCAGTTACAGAAAACAAGGAATTAGAAGTCAAAGTCACTTGGTTCTCTGTAGATATCTGAGTGAGAATATCATACCCCCCCCCCCAAGACATGCTAACCTCCCCTGTTATTGATAATGGTGAGAGGTTAACATGTCATGGGGGTTATGATCTTTGATTCTCTGTAACTTTTTCACTCATCGTTATTCCCCGATTAATTCAGGATTATCCATAGTCATGGTAGCGTCCACATTAATATAGAACTGTTTAGAAACATATTCTATTCACAATAAAAGTGACTCCAAAATGACACAATACATTATTTACCATTCATTTCTATTGGGCACAAAATAATCAGAAACACAACCAAAACGAACTGCAAATGCATCCAACAAGTTTGTAAAGTCACAAGCTTGAAGTAGTCATTGAATGCTAGGAATATGAGACCAAATACTAATCCTTTGACTACTTTATTTATAAAAATCTTTAGGGGTATCAATACATTTGACCCCTAACGTTTTGAGAATAAAAAGCATTACTTGTTGAACAAAATATATTTCTCTGAGCAATTGTATTAGTATAAAATAATATAATTACACTTTTTTTTTGCATACAATATAGCTCTGTATTTGAATTGTATATACAGTGCCTTGCAAAAGCATTAATCCCCCTTGGTGTTTTTCCTATGTTGTTGCATTACAACCTGTAATTTAAATGGATTTTTATTTGGATTTCATGTAATGGACATACACAAAATAAAACAAATAAAACAAATCATTAACGGAAAAGTGGTGCGTGCATTTGTATTCAACCCCTTTGCTATGAAGCCCCTAAATAAGATCTGGTGCAACCAATTACCTTCAGAAGTCACATAATTAGTTAAATAAAGTCCACCTGTGTGCAATCTAAGTGTCACATGATCTGTCACATGGTCTCAGTATATATACACCTGTTCTGAAAGGCCCCAGAGTCTGCAACACCACAAAGCAAGGGGCAACACCAAGCAAGCGGCACCATGAAGACCAAGGAGCTCTCCAAACAGGTCAGGGACAAAGTTGTGGAGAAGTACAGATCAGGGTTGGGTTACAAAAAAATATCAGAAACTTTGAACATCCCACGGAGAACCATTAAATCCATTATTTAAAAAATTGAAAGAATATGGCACCACAACAAACCTGCCAAGAGAGGGCCGCCCACCAAAAGTCACGGACCAGGCAAGGAGGGCATTAATCAGAGAGGCAACAAAGAGACCAAAGATAACCCTGAAGGAGCTGTAAAGCTCCACAGCAGAGATTGGAGTATCTGTCCATAGGACCACTTTAAGCCATACACTCCACAGAGATGGGCTTTATGGAAGAGTGGCCAGAAAAAAGCCATTACTTAAAGAAAAAAATAAGCATATGGAAGAATGCTCTGGTCAGATGAGACTAAAATTTAGCTTTTTGGCACAAACCCAACACCTCTCATCACCCCGAGAACACCATCCCCACAATGAAGGATGGTGGTTGCAGCATCATGATGTGGGGATGTTGTCATCGGCAGGGACTGGGAAACTGGTCAGAATTGAAGGAATGATGGATGGCACTAAATACAGGGAAATTCTTGGGGGAAACCTGTTTCAGTCTTCCAGAGATTTGAGACTGGGACGGAGGTTTACCTTCCAGCAGGACAATGACCCTAAGCATACTGCTAAAGCAACACTCGAGTTGTTTAATGGGAAACATTTAAATGTCGGAATGGCCTAGTCAAAGCCTAGACCTCAATCCAATTGATAATCTGTGGTATGACTTAAAAATTGCTGTACACCTGCGGAACCCATCTAACTTGAAGGAGCTGGAGCAGTTTTGCCTTGAAGAATGGGCAAAAATCCCATTGGCTAGATGTGCCAAACTTATAGAGACATACCCCAAGAGACTTGCAGCTGTAATTGCTGCAAAAGGGGGGGTGAATGCTGACTTTGGGGGGGTGAATAGTTACGCACACTCAAGTTAGTTTTTTTTGTCTTATTTCTTGGTTGTTTCACAATAAAACATATTTTGCATCTTCAAAGTGGTAGGCATGTTGTGTAAATGAAATGATACAAACCCCCCAAAAATCCCTTTTAATTCAAGGTTGTAAGGCAACAAAATAGGCAAAATGCCAAGAGGGGTGAATACTTTCTTGTTAACAAACTATAGTTTTGGCAAGTCGGTTAGGACATCTACTTTGTGCATGACACAAGTAATTCTTCCAACAATTGTTTACAGACAGATTATTTCACTTATAATTTATTGTATCACAATTCCAGTGGGTCAGAAGTTTACATACACTATTGACTGTGCCTTTAAACAGCTTGTAAAATTCCAGAAAATGATGTCATGGCTTTAGAAGCTTCTGATAGGCTAATTGACATCCATAGGTGTACCTGTGGATGTATTTCAAGGCCTACCGTCAAACTCAGTGCCTCTTTGCTTGACATCATGGGAAAATCAAAAGAAACAGCCAAGACCTCAGAAAAAAGATTGTAGACCTCCACAAGTCTGGTTCATCCTTGGGAGCAATTTCCAAATGCCTGAAGGTAATAATATAAATATATTCATCTGTACAAACAATAGTACGCAAGTATAAACACCATGGGACCACGCAGCCGTCATACCGCTCAGGAAAGAGACGCGTTCTGTCTCCTAGAGATGAACGTACTTTGGTGCAAAAAGTGTAACTCAATCCCAGAACAACAGCAAAGGACCTTGTGAAGATGCTGGAGGAAACAGATACAAATGTATCTATATCCACAGTAAAACGAGTCCTATATCGACATAACCTGAAAGGCTGCTCAGGAAGGAAGAAGCCACTGCTCCAAAACCGCCATAAAAAAAGCCAGACTACGGTTTGCAACTGCACATGGGGACAAAGATCGTATTTTTTGGAGAAATGTCCTCTGGTCTAATGAAACAAAAATAGAACTGTTTGGCCATAATGACCATCGTTATGTTTGGAGGAAAAAGGGTGTTGCTTGCAAGCCGAGGAACACCATCCCAACCGTGAAGCACGGGGCTGTGTAAGGGCTATTTGACCAAGAAGGAGAGTGATGGAGTGCTTCATCAGATGGCCTGGCCTCCACAATCACCCAACATCAACCCAATTGAGATGGTTTGTTATGAGTAGGACCGCAGAGTGAAGGAAAATTGGCTAACAAGTGCTCAGCATATGTGGGAACTCCTTCAAGACTGATGGAAAAGCATCCCAGGTGAAGCTGGTAGAGAGAATGCCAAGAGTGTGCAAAGCTGTCATCAAGGCAAAGGGTGGCTACTTCGAAGAATCTAAAATCTAAAATATATTTTTATTTATTGAACACGTTTTTGGTTACTACATGATTCCATGTGTTATTTCATAGCTTTGATGCCTTCACTATTATTCTACAATGCATATGTGAGGATGCTGTTCATCGACTACAGCTCGGCCTTCAATACCATAGTTCCCTTTAAGTTCATTACAACGCTCACGGCCCTGGGTCTGTACTCCTCCCTGTGCAACTGGGTCCTGGACTTCCTGACGGGCCTCCCAGGTGGTGAAGGTAGGCAACATTACCTCCTCGACACTGATCCTCAACACGGGGGCCCCACAAGGGTGCATCCTCAGTCCCCTCCTGTATTCCCTGTGTACCCACGACTGCATGGCTTCACACAGTTCCAACTCCATCATCAAGTTCACTGACGACACGACACTAGTAGGCCTGATTACCAACAACGACGAGACGGCCTACAGGGAGGAGGTAGGCACTCTGACGGTGTGATGCCAGGTAAACAACCTCTCTCTCAACGTTAGCAAAACAAAGGAGCTGATTGTGGACTTCAGGAGGAACCAAGCTGGAGACGCCCCCCATCGTCATCAACAGGGCCGCCGTGGAGACGGTGTACACATCTCAGAGAAGCTGAACTGGTCTAACCTCACGGACTCTGCAGTGAAGAAGGCACGACAGCGACTCGTCAACCTCAAGATGCTGAAGGAATTCGGCCTGTCCCTGAGGGCCCTCAGTGTGTTATACAGGAGAGTATACTGTCGGGCTGCATCACAGCCTGGTACGGCAACTCCACCGCCGCGGACCGCAAGGCTCTTCAGAGGAGGATACGTGCAGCTACCTGCTCATCCCGCAAACGGTCACTTACCTTACCTCCCCCTAGGGACATCCCCCACCCCCCTCAATGGTCACTTACCTTACATGTTGTTCCCCCTACGGACATTTTACACCCAACCCCCCCAACTGACTTTTACTCTGCCCCCACCCCGACAACATTCATCACTGTTGCAGTTGTTAATATGTATATTATTATTTTATTTTATTATAATTTTTTTTGTTTTTATTTCACTTGGTCCCCACACCCCCTCAATAGTCATGCTCCTCCCCCTATGGTCATTCACCCCACCCCCTCAATAGTCATGCTCCTCCCCCTATGGTCATTCACCCCACCCCCTCAACAGTCTTTACTTTGCCTCCGCCCAAATGGACATTTATTTATTCATCACGGATACAGTTGTTATTATGTATTTAGTGCTATGTCTATTATTGTTTTTTTATTACCATTTTAATTATTTTATTTCACTTAGTCCTTCATGTTGGAGCTCGGAGCCTAAGATTTTCACTGTACCCTGCAATCACACATGCAACCCCTGTACATGTGACTATTAAACACTCTGAATCTGAATCTTCAATTCAAACCACAGGTTTTCAATAGGGTTCAAGTCCGGAGACTGAGTTGGGCATTGCAAAATATTGCTTTGCGGTTATTTAAAAATGTCTTTGTAGATTTTGATGTTTGCTTGGGATCATTGTCTTGCTGGAAGATCCACTTGCACCCAAGTTTCAGCATCCTGACAGAGGCAACCAGGTTTTTGTCAAAAAATTTCCTGGTACTTGGTAGAGTTCATGATGCCAATCGAAGCAAAACAGCCCCCATAACATCAAAGATCCACGACCATACAGTATTTTTACAGAGGTTCTTTTCTGCATATGCATCCCTCTTAAGAGGCCAAACCCAAACTGGTTTGTGTGGCCAAAGAGCTCTATTTTCGTCTCATCTGACCATAGCACCCAGTACCAATCTAAGTGACAATGCCGTTCAGCAAACACCAGGCATTTACATTTGTTGGTTGCCCTCAATAAAGGCTTTTTTTATGGCAACCAAATAGCCTATTGGCATGAAGGTTACGCCTAATTGTAGATTTCGAGACTTGGTGACCCCAAGATGCGATCATGTTCTGTAATTCTCCAACTGTGGCCCTTGGACTTAATTTTTTTTTTGCCTCCAGAACCATCTTCCTAACTGTGTGAGGGGACAAGATACACATGGGTTCTCTACCAGGCAGGTTTTGCTTATCTTATCAAGGGTGTCAATACTTTTTTTGGGGGATGTGACTGTAAATGTTACAGTGTTGGCCAAAATGCCACAAGAGAAGGGTTAACTCTTCATCCAGGTTACATGCTAGGATATGATTCCCCACAGTACCTCTTGGCAGATATAAAAGGCAGACAAAATATCAGGATGACAGCTATCTCCACATAAAGGAAGAAAGCCACCACAGTCCACTGGAGAGTCATCTTATTACTGGGGAGTCCACTGTGGAGAAAACAACAACACTGTAAATGCACATATAAAATACACAACACAATACCCAGCTGGCAAAACTGGGCTACATTTGTTGTTCTTCTGTACGAAACAACACAAGTCTCCTGAATCTGCGTTTGTGCCATATGGTTCTGAGGAAACAAGGCTTTGAGGGATGATGGGCCAACATCACATGGGCCGACATTGACTATTCACTTCTTATCAATCTATATTAGGTAACAGTGGCGTGATGATTACAAGTTGTTACATGGGGGGATTACATATGATTATTCATGTGTTACCTGAATCTGGTGTACTTTTGTTGTGTTCAGTGTTTACTTTTTTGACAATTTCCTATTTCCTATCACCGAGTCCATGTTGAAAATATGAATGGAATTCGAGCCGAACGCAAACTATCCAAACCTTTACAAGTTCCTTTAAAAAGTGAATCAACTGGGTGACTTTCCCTGATCTGACCAGCAGAGAGAAACTCTTGACATGTTAATTAGCTACATAACAGTGTGGGCACTGTGGAGATATCGTAATAATGTATTCTGAATCTTTGGTGCTGAGGCACCATAAATAGTCTATAACCAGTCCGACTGCTCCACAGCATGAGTGGCATACTGTTTAACATGCATTTACAAATACAATGCAGCCAAATGCTATTTATATCTAAAGTTATTTTCTAACTTCTCCGCAGTTGACCTAAAGATCGTTTGTCAAATCAACAGTCCATTCTCTTGCTTTCTATACACTACATGGGAACCGCGTCGACACACCCCAAACAAGCAGAAATAGAGTTAGAATCTTACCCGACAAATACGGTAGATTAGAAGTAGACGCTGGAAGGCACATACCCCCACCCCCTCCTCTGAACCCCCCCCCCACCCACCCTGCACAACAGCTGTTCATGCTCAGCCCCCTGGGCCCTGACGTCACCGGAGAACAACTTGAACAAGACCCCTATGTCCATAAATAAAGCCACGACCATGCAGTGTTCTAAGCTGAGAGTAAACCCCCTGTCGTTGTATTGAAGAGGAACAATAAATAAGGTTGAACTTGAACTTACATAGAAATAAAGGAACCGTTCCTTTATGTTTTAATGTGTTTCATACTGTCAAAGCAATGCCATTTAGACTGTGGACTTAGGGCCTAGGCCTCTGATATTCCATGTTATAGAAACATGAGCCATTTCACTGCACATAAAGCTATTGCAATGTCGTCTTGGCTTATTGTTCTACCTAATGTATTTTATTACATTCTTTAGCCTAACCTTGCTGCTGATGCCTTGGCTCAACCTAAACACTGAGGTACCTAACACCTCAACTATCTTTGGTGATCACCAATTACTGGGTCAATGAAAGTATCTTGAGTATGTAGAACTACTTTAAATGTATTGTTATTTCCAAACTTCCCTATCAATTTGTTTATGAATATTGTACAGTGCCTTCAGAAACTATTCACACCCCTTGACATTTTCCACATTTTGTTGTGTTACAAAGTGGGATTAAAACTGATTTAATTGCAATTTTTTTGTCAACGATCCACATAAAATACTTTGTAACATCAAAGTGGAAGAAAAATTCTAACATTTAAAAAAATTAATTGAAAATAAAACACTGATATATATTTATTAGATCAGTATTCAACCCCCTGAGTCAATACATGTTAGAATCACCTTTGGCAGAGATTTCAGCTGTGAGTCTTTAAGACTGTCTAAGAGCTTTGCACACCTCTAAGAGCTTACAATTATTCTTAAAAAATATATACAAAATGCTAGACAGCCATTTTCAAGTCTTGCCAAAGATTTTCAAGCCGATTTAAGTCAAAACTGTAAGTGCACCACTCAGGAACATTCAATGTCGTCTTGGTAAACAACTCCAGTGTATATTTGGACTTGTGTTTTAGGTAATTGTCCAGCTGAAATGTGAATTTGTCTCCCAGTGTCTGTTGGAAAGCAGACTGAACCAAGTTTCCCTCTAGGATTTTGCCTGTGCTTAGCTCTATTCCGTTTATTTTAATCCTAAAAACACTCCCTAGTCCTTGCCGATGACAAGCATGCCAGTAACATGATGCAGCCACCACCATGCTTGAAAATATGAAGACTGGTACTCAGTGATATGTTGTGTTGGATTTGCCCCAAACATAACGTTTTTAATTTGTTAATTAGTTTGCCACAGTTTATGCAGTATTACTTTAATGCCTTATTGCAATCAGGATAAGTGTTTTGGAATATTTGTATTCTGTACAGGCTTCCTTCTTTTCACTCTGTCATTTATGTTAGTATTCTGGAGTAACTACAATGTTGTTGATCCATCCTCAGTTTTCTCCTATCACAGTCATTAAACTCTGTAACTGTTTTAAAATCACCATTGGCCTCATGGTGACATCCCTGAGCAGTTTCCTTCCTCACCGCCAACTGAGTTAGGAAGGGCGTCTGTATCTTTGTTGTGACTGGGTGTATTGATACACCATCCAAAGTGTAATTAACAACTTCACTATGATTTTTTTTATCCATCTACCAATAGGTGCCCTTCTTTGCGAAGCATTGGAAAACCTCCCTGGTCTTTGTGGTTGAATCTGTGTTTGAGATTCACTGCTCGACTGAGGGACCTTACAGATAATTGTATGTGTGGGGTACAGAGATGAGGTAGTCATTAAAATATCATGTTAAACACTAGTATTGCACACAGAGTGAGTCCATGCAACTTATTAAGCACATTTTTTACTCCTGAACTTATTTAGACTTGACATAACAAAGGGGTTGAATGTGAATACTAATTTACTCAAGACATTTCAGCTTTTCATTTTTTATGAATTGGTAGACATTTCTAAAAACACAATTCCACATTGATGTTATGGGGTATTGTGTGTAGATCAGTGACACAAAATCTCAATATAATCCATTTTAAATTCAGGCTGTATCACAACAAGATGCTTTCTGAAGGTACTGTATACATTACATTAGACATCAGGCCAATCTCTGTAAGATCTACACTGGGGACAAAATGTTGCAAAGGCATTTTGTAAATTGCCCAGCAGAGGGCGCTATCGTCTAACTTTAGACTGGATAAAAAGCTATCCATCCCAATCCTCATTGTCAAGTGAAATGGAAAATTGCAACCAATAATTGAAATACTCCTCGTTCCCCCACCTTAGCTCCAGAGTTTAATGACAATACCTTTAAGTGGCATCATGTATTTTGAGCATGTATGGTGTCTCCCTACTGTCCTTCAACCAATTACAAGAAAGATTTGGATTATCCAAGGGCCGATTTCTTTAAATTCTTACAACTCAGAAATCTTTATTCAATTGCTTCAACAGAATCTGGATGAACCAAAGGCATCTAGCATAGAATAAATACTGAAAGAAGCTGCTACGCCAAATAAGTTTATTGCCAAGTTATATGAAGGGTTGATTGAAACTCTAGCTGCTGGTTCAGGACCTGTAAGGACAACATGGGAAACTGACCTAAAGCAAGACATTTAGGAGAACCGTTGATCACAAATTTTTGAAAATGTTCGTACCTGCTCCTACAACCTAAGACATAAACTACTGCAATTTAATACAGTTCATAGAACTTACTACACTCCTGCCAGAATGCATGAATGCATGTAATGCACCCAGAAATATCACATCTCTGTTGGAGATGCAAAAAGCCCAAAGGAACCCTATTACATATGCTGTGGTCCTGTGACAAACTGACACCATGTTGGTGTTTTATTTTCTTATTTCACCTTTATTTAACCAGGTAAGCCAGTTGAGAATAAGTTCTCATTTACAACTGTGACCTGGCCAAGATATAGCAAAGCAGTGCGATTAAAACAACAACACAGAGTTACATATGGGGTAAAACAAAACATAAAGTCAAAAATACAACAGAAAATATATATACAATGTGTTCAAATGTAGCAAGTTATGGAGGTAAGGCAATAAATAGGCCATAGTACAAAATAATTACAATTAGTATTAACACTGGAATGATAGATGTGCAAGAGATGATGTGCAAATAGAGATACTGGGGTGTAAATGAGCAAAATAAATAACAATATGGGGATGAGGTAGTTCAGATGGGCTGTGTACAGGTGCAGTGATCGGTAAGGTGCTCTGACAACTGATGCTTAAAGTTAGTGAGGGAGATAAGAGTCTCCAGCTTCAGAGATTTTTGCAATTCGTTCCAGTCATTGGCAGCAGAGAACTGGAAGGAACGGCGGCCAAAGGAGGTGTTGGCTTTGGGGATGACAAGTGAGGTATACCTGCTGGAGCGCATACTACGGGTGGGTGTTGCTATGGTGACCAATGAGCTAAGAAAAGGCGGGGATTTGCCTAGCAGTGATTTATAGATGGCCTGGAGCCAGTGGGTTTGGCGACGAATATGTAGTGAGGACCAGCCAACAAGAGCGTACATGTCACAATGGTGGGTAGTATATATGTGGCTTTGGTGACAAAACGGATGGCACTGTGATAGATTACATCCAATTAGCTGAGTAGAGTGTTGGAGGCTATTTTGTAAATGACATCGCCGAAGTCAAGGATCGGTAGGATAGTCAGTTTTACGAGGGCATGTTTGGCAGCATGAGTGAAGGAGACTTTGTTGCGAAATAGGAAGCCGATTCTAGATGTAACTTTGGATTGGAGATGCTTAATGTGAGTCTGGAAGGAGATTTCACAGTCTAACCAGACACCTAGGTATTTGTAGTTGTCCACATACTCTAGGTCAGACCCGTCGAGAGTAGTGATTCTAGTCGGGAGGGCGGGTGCCAGCAGCGTTCGATTGAAGAGCATGCATTTAGTTTTACTAGTGTTAAGTGTTGTATGGCATTGAAGCTCGTTTGGAGTTTTGTTAACACAGTGTCCAATGAAGGGCCAGATGTATACAAAATGGTGTCGTCTGCGTAGAGGTGGATCTGAGAGTCACCAGCAGCAAGAGCGACATCATTGATATACACGGAAAAAAGAGTCGGCCCAAGAATTGAACCCTGTGGCACCCCCATAGAGACTGCCATAGGTCCAGACAACAGGCCATCCAATTTGACATATTGAACTCTATCTGAGAAGTAGTTGGTGAACCATGCGAGGCAGTCATGTGAGAAACCAAGGCTATTTAGTCTGCCAATAAGAAAGCAGTGGTTGACAGAGTCGAAAGCCTTGGCCAGGTCGATGAAGACGGCTGCACAGTACTGTCAATTATCGATCGCGGTTATAATATCGTTTAGGACCTTGAGCGTGGCTGAGGTGCACCCATGACCAGCTCGGAAACCGGATTGCATAGCGGAGAAGGTACGGTGGTTTTCGAAATGGTCGGTGATCTGTTTGTTAAATTGGCTTTCAAAAATTTTCGAAAGGCAGGGCAGGATGGATATAGGTCTGTAACAGTTTGGATCTAGAGTGTCACCCCCTTTGAAGAGGGGGATGACCGCGGCAGCTTTCCAATCTCTGGGGATCTCAGACATTATGAAAGAGAGGTTGAACAGGCTATTAATAGGGGATGCGACAATTTCGGCTGCTAATTTTAGAAAGAAAGGGTCCAGATTGTCTAGCCCAGCTGATTTGTAGGGGTCCAGATTTTTCAGCTCTTTCAGAACATCAGCTGTCTGAATTTGTGTATAGGAGAAGCGGGGGGGGGGTTTGGGGGGGGGGGCATGGGCAAGTTGCAGTGGAGGGTGCAGAGCTGATGGCCGGGGTAGTGGTAGCCAGGTGGAAAGCATGGCCAGCCGTAGCAAAATGCTTGTTGAAATTATCAATTATTGTAGATTTATTGGTGGTGATAGTGTTTCCTAGCCTCAGTGCAGTTGGCAGCTGGGAGGAGGTGCTCTTATTCTCCATGGACTTTACAGTGTCCCAAAACTTTTTGGAGTTAGTGCTACAGGATGCAAATTTCTGTTTGAAAAAGCTAGCCTTTGCTTTCCTAACTGCTTGTGTATATTGGTTCCTAACTTCCCTCAAAAGTTGCATATCGCGGGGGCTATTCGA